GTCACCCACTGACATGTCGGTACTTGTATAGCCACAATCATTTGCTACTGTTATAGTTACAGATAGATATAAATTAAACCAACAGCCGCTCAATAATTAGGTAATAACCTCGTGGGACCCACGCTGAAGAAGTGCCGCAGCGCTCCCTTCCCTCCAACTCCAACTTGCCCTCCCATGGACTCTGCGATCACTGCGACCACCGTACTGCGGGGCACCAACTCGGGACAGTGGTACGTCGGAAGCGAGTCGATGTCGAGTCTCTCAACCCCCCACTCCCACCGCCGGGAAATCAGCCAAGAACGTGATCTTGCACATCAAGTCGCAGCTGCCGATCCTAGACGTAAGTTGCGTACGCGTGCATGTTTACATACATTACCCTCAAACGACTGACCGTCAACCTCATGCCATCGCACACTAGGAGGCGCTAGGCGAGCTGCATGCACAGACGATTCAGATGGACCTCCTGGGCGGGGATCCCAGATGGCGCGGAGATCGAGGAGTAAGCCGCTTCCATGGTGCCCGGACTGAGGCAATCCGAGCTCAAGATATCCGCGCGCTGCCGGCAGGCTACGCCGCGAGCTGATCAGCACCGGCGAGACACAGAAACGGGGCTTGGAGGAAATCCAACGTAATGCTTTAGCCATAATACATTGGGCATCCGGCAGGGCTCACACCGCTTCTACTGCAGGATACATCGACGAGACGCTATCCGTGGAAGTGCTCGAGACTATGAACAAACAAGGTGCTTCTTGGGACCGGCGCTCGACATGGCATGGCACAAGTACTGACCGAACACGCCCTTAGCCGATGAAGCCATAGCCTCGATCGTCGACCAGCTCGTAGACGAGCAAGTCGCAGCTTGTTTGGCAACGCACATCCCCCAGGAACTGCAGGACCAAGTCGCCGAACAGCAGAAAGAGCTGGAAGAGCTGCATCGAGACTTGCATAACTCGTCGGTCACCTGCTCAGGGCTGTAGCTCCCGGTGCTGACACAACACATTGACAACAGAGAAAGCCGGCGCGCCAACGCCGCTCTGCGCACGAGCCACGAGGATGACAGCCTCAACACGATCCTCAAGCAGGACTGCACGGTGCCTCAATTGTTCCCGGGACGTTGAAGGCGCTCTTCGACTTGGACGGTGAGCCGGCCCATTCACTACCCACGTGATACATTAGAACACACGGCGTGCAGGCCCACATCCAAGGATCTCATGACGGAATACGAGATTCCCCTGGTCTCCGACTCGCGCGAGTGGAATCTGAACCGACTGATGCAGTTCCTCGGCGTGAAATACCAGATGGTAAGCGCCCAGCGAGTGAGGGGCGCCTGGCTTATGCTGATTCTGATTTCGGTCAGGTCAGAGATGGGCCAGCAACGACAGGCATGGGATTTGCATGATACATGTTTCAGTAGATGTTATTACTATGAGCTTGTACAGGGCTCTTGGCTCATCCGTACCCATAATCCACCCTGCGAACGATGAGGCAATGACGCGAAGGCGCGTAAATGTACACTCACTGAGGTATACATCGTCAGGTGCGCTCTGGGAACGACTTGCTCGATGCCCTTGCGACCCGGCTGGCCCGACCAATCGCTGGGCACTCGAGCAGAAGGTGGGAACGCATCGGCATCGAGGGCTATCGAGCTGAAAGTTTGGAGCAGGCGGATCAACACAAAAGACATCTCGTTATACGCAAACTGCTGCCCGAGACAGATCCTGGGACCAGCGTTGAATCTGCGCGGGATGTCAGTCAATGTATGCTCACAATATCAGATGAGAGCGTACGGCAAAAACCGGAACGGATGGGAGATGTACTGCTTCGCCCGCTCATCCAGAAATCTGTCTGGATCGAAGAGATGTGCGGTCGGCCCCCAAAGCTCTGGCCGCCGCTGCATGACCATGACAGAATACACGATCTTGGTCCCAGCCGCGATATGTAACGGTTTCTGTGTTGGATCTGGCGAAGGCCAGACACTGTCGTTCACAGCCTGTCGGATATTGAAGGGACTGTATAGATAAATCAGCTTCGTTCGTTATCGGCTAGATGATACTCACACTGGCGGGAACAGCCGCATCGTCTCTGTGACAGATGAATGAAAATCGGCTTCAGAATGACACAAAATCAAGTACCGTTGATCACAGCGCGCAGATATTTCATTTGTCTGATATTGTCGAATGAGGGACGGCCAGAAGGCCCCACGAACGTCGCGATCTCCTCCCGAAGGCGGGCGATCACATCAGGAGATGTGCTGAGACTGTAGATGGAGTTAGGAATCACCGTTGTTTCTCCGTCAAAGGACACGCACAGATAGATGACGTTGCTCAAGACGCTCATGGTCGTATCTCGACCGGCTGCCGGTTCGATTAGCAAAGAAGATATATTGGGAACTGAACATACCGATCAAAACATTGAGTATTTCATCCTTGAGCAGCTTTGGATCTAGCCAGGAGACAGTCAGCCAGGGCAGACACAAGCAAGGAGGGCAACCCTCACCGGTTGTGGACCTGATAAGCTCGTCTAGAAGTGATGCAGAGAGATGCCCTCCTCGGGCTTTCTTCGCCAAGGCAGCCTCGATGAGAGGGTCGATGAATCTGTCGACGACTTTCATCGGCTTCACGGTTTTGTCGCCCAAAATCTCAAACAGCGGCCACACCCAACCGACCCTCTGCCGGAAAGCGATTTGGAGCATAGCTTGGTTGTACGCGGCTGTAAAGTCATCGGCTGATTGGGTCGGTTGAGTCGATGGGCTGAATACGTTGTGCGGATACGCGAGCGAGCACGATAAGCTATCAACGCAGGAGCCAAAGAGGAACTCCGTGGCAGCATCCATCGTCAAACGGCTGATGAGATCCTTTGGGAATGTCAGAAGTGCAGCAAACGACTGGAGACCGTCGCACCTGGAAGTCAATGGCATGCCCTTCAGCCATGCGAGTTTTTATCAACCCGATCGTACGCTCAGTGTGTCGCTCGAATATGTCCATGTCCTGGACACGATCACGTGAGAAGAAAGGGCGGGTCATCGACCGATGGAAGGACCACATCTTGCCTGGGAAAGTGTCAAAGCGAACCTGATATGGGTTTGTGGCACTCACCATCAGAATTGAAGACACCATTCCCAAGGACTGAGTTCATTCCAAAGCAAAAGTCGGTGCCTGTGACGCATCCAATCACTGCTCAAGACATGGGAAAGGGCGTACCTTTGATGTAGTTCTTGAAGTCCGTGGCTAGTATGATCTGGAGATGCTCGGGATAAACGGTGAAGATCTTGTCCTGCCAGAGCAGACGGATATTGAAGACAGGACCCATCGAGTCAACGAGGTCAGAAAAGGCTTCGCCTGATCTCGCTCAGCGGGGGAATTCCGACACCGGTAGACGACGCACCAAGAAAGCCCTGTTCATAGGAATGAAGGATCTTGCGCAGCAGATCGAGGCCGCCGAGCCAGCGACTGGGAGCGCGCGGGATCTGGCGAGCACCCGCCTTGCGTACCGCGCGCGAACGTCCTGCTCGCCCATACGTTAAGTGAGCCAGGATAGTGCCCATGGCCGCGAAAGGGGCGGCCCAAAGGAGGGGATACGAGTGCGAGATTGTCGGATTAGTAGTGAGAGTGAGGATCGCAAGTACGAACACGCAAGGTGCGAATAATTTCAGAGCCAGGAAGCGGACGCCTGGTGTGAGCGGCATAGTAGGAAGGAGAGAGGGATAGTGTTAGACACGAGCACTGAGACATTTCAGATTTTATTGCTGCGAGCCCAGAATGGAGGTAGCGGTTAGGATGAGATAGGGGACAGACGAATGAGGTAGTGCGTGGGGTGATCACTGAGCCTGCGAGTCTCTCTTCCGCTTTTTCCGACCACCTGCTTCGACAGGATCCTCAAGAAGATCATGTTCTCCATGCTTCGACAAGATACTGATCGCGAACAGCGCGTGTTCGAGTTTCATGCAGTCCCAGAGCATCGACGAGCCCACATCACTCTCATTGAGTTGCTTGACACAAGCGACCATTGTGGCCGCGTATTTCTTGTAAAACGTATCGGTGTACTTGATGGGACCGAGCGTCGAGGAGAAGAAGCCAGCCGCCTCATCGCTCATGAACGGTAGAAGATGGGGAGGGTGCAGTGTGAGTAGCGCTGCAGATCCATGAAACGCGAGATGGCGAAGACGGTACATATGCGCACCAGAAGCTGTCGCTGCTCCGACCCCTTTCAGTTTACATGCTTCTGCGATGGCAAGTAGCGCGACGTCCAGATCATCTCCAGCTTCCCGCACGCGATCGAGCGCTGCGCCGGTCGATTCATGAATCAAAGTCTCCGGGTTCGATCCAATGAGAGCTAAGAGAGTGGGTCTCGATTTGCCGCGCGACAACTTCCATTTCATCAAGGCTGGGCAACAAATAGGACATGAGCAGAAGTGATGAAGGTCGTCGAGTCCCCGACGCACAAGTCATATCAGCCTTAGTGACAGGCTCACGAGCCGGCAATGAGATGCGGCCCAGAAAATCACCGTTCATCCAAGTATCCAGCTCTACCAGCTCATTCGGCGCCTTGCTGTGCTCTCGAGACCTCAGCATCACTGCATGTTCATATTGCACCAAGGCGCGTGAAAGCTTCTCAAATTCGGGAAATCCCTCCGGAACGCGGCTGGGAATATGATGTTCATGCGATATTGTTGCCGATCCGGAAGAGACTGAGGAGAGCTTCGTTTTTTTGCGTGGAGGCATGGAAGGATGAACGCTGATCAGAGCAAGCTGACGATTTGCTTACGTACATGCAAGTTCATGTACCGGCAGGTGGTTCTCCGCGAGAACCAAACTGAATGATATCTTTACGAGTGATCCACGAATGTGAATGTGTACTCGGACGCTTTCACGACGACCATTCACTACGCTAATTCAAGCGACATTTGCTATTTATATACATCTGACCTCTATAGTCACTATTCTCACCTCAGCCAAAGACTCGCAACGGCAAACACACCGATAGCAGTCATCCAGGTCGCAATATACCGCGGAGCCCGGACCTTCTGCTCCCTCAGCTCAGCCTTCTGGAACGCCCAAGCGGCCGCTTGCTTCTGGAGATCGGGAGGCTTGTATCGCTGCCCCGGATGCCGACTGTGTCGGTCCAGCGCCCCGGCGAGGGGAACGTGGCTCGGTCGGCGTGCAAACATCGGCTCGTCCGTTGGACGTGCGCGGCGTGGATGAGAATGGGACGCGGAGGAGGGGTCTGGATGGAAGTTTCGCGCAGACCGGCGGTACCGCACCGCCGCATCGGCCATGTAACGCGAGTGTGTCGAAGGAGTGGCAGGACGGGGCAGCGACGGGAGAGTATTGTCGTAGGCACGCCTGAGAATTAGAGTTGTTACCAGAGGAAGGCGAGTGTCCGCGTCGGGAATGACGTACCGTGAAATGGGGTCCCTCAAGACATTGTACGCCTCCGAAATCTCATGGAATTCAGGCTGCAGTTTGTGATCTGGGATGTCCGGATGGTGTGTTTTACTAAGCTGGCGAGCTTCAATTCAAGCAGAGCATGCGCAGGTGAGGAAGGACCAACTGCGAAGAAGGCGGTCTATGCGGTCTGCAATCTTAGTTATGGAAGGACCTTTATGGTCTGCAGCACTGACCTTTATCTGCTGCTGAGAAGCATTTTGGGGGACACTCAGCGTATCATAGTGAGTGCTTCTTCGGAATGCGGACGAGGAGAGTCTCCGAACTTTCATGGAGGTTAAGGATCAGTTCAGGTGGGACATGTGTGGTAATGTTGAGTCGCGATGAATACCGTCAGATAAGATAAGATTGCGATGATCCCATTACAGGAACGCAGATGGTAGCTACTTGCTCTTCTCCCCGAACTCAGGATACTCGCTCTTGTAGCCTCCCAGCCATCCAACTATGTTGCCCAGAATATAGTTGGCCATCCGTCCTATGTTGAGTGGCATTTCGAGCACGACATCAGCTGAGTACATGAATGTGAGCATTTGGATGGGATTCGGTGCCAGGCCTTGCATAGTGCACGATGAGAGATATCTGGCAAGGACATTCGGAATAGGCAACGCCAGCAGGAGTCAATAGACGAACCCATAGAAATTGCGTACGAAGGTCTCGTCGAACCCAGGATTGGGTCCTCCCCGCACGGTGATATTCACATCGAGGTCCTCGCCCGATTCAGGATCCGACCAGAACTGCAAGTCCGTTCAGAATTGAGAAACAGTTGGTATCTGGTCGACAAAGAACGCACCGTGTGCCAGCGACCGGGTGTGATGACTGTGGTTTCTCCAGCCTTGAGCTTCCCTTCCGTTCCATCCAGGATGTAGCACAGAACTCCGCTGTTCTGGAGAAACTAGTTGGCTGCGTGGACTACGCGTTCAATTGCAATCACAAACCACCGCAAACGTCTCTGTTTGGTACAAGTGCCAATGATAAGGTGCTTGCAGCCGGCTTCAGTCGACGTTCGACGGAACGGTCTCAGGACATACGAGTAGCTGTGGATTGCCGTCCGGCGCTGGAAGGAAGAGCTCGTTCCCAATCTCACAAGACGTAAGCAGAATCGGGCTCACCCAGTGTGAGGGTTGCCCTTCTGAAATATTTGTCGGGAGGTAAAGCTTCCCCCGTCATCTGAAGTACCAACGGCCCATGTCTTGAAGGCGCCGCCGAAAAAGACGTACGCGCCGTCCGCTTCGATTGTCGGTGGTTGTAAAGGTTGCTACGCGTGTTGTAAGTTGCGGAGCTGGTGGGGAAACTAATCTCGTGCCTTGGGGAAGAGGAACGAAAGAGCCATAGGTGAAGGCAGTGGTGTGAGTAAAGGAATTAAGAATAGAGGCGTGCATCATGGCGAGGCTAAGAAGTAGAGTGGTGACCATGTACGTAAACGGGCGAGGAGCAGCCGCGGCCGAGATGAAGCTTATCGATAAGATATATAGGTGAAGCAGGTTCTGCAAAGCGTTGCCGCACAGACCAGCCTCCGCTCACGCAGTAGGAAAGAGTCGGAGGAAGTTATATGAGATCAGGAGCGGGGGAATCTCACGGTAACTATTCAGAAGGCTGAGGCTTGCGCGCCTAGAGGTTAGAGAAGGGCCACTCGACCTGGGCCTGGTTGAGTGGTCAATGACCAGTTTATCTTGAGGAGGTGCTCAGACACGGTTCAAAATACTGACCGAACTTGATATCCTTTCGCAAGTGCATTGTTTTGGTGTGCGGTGTGCGGTTATACAAGCTGATGGATGATATGATAATGATCGGGCGGACGACGCTAGAATCGAGTCGGGCGCCCAGGCACACCCAAGGAATTGCGGGCAATGGGCACCGCAGCACTGATCCCTGTGCGGTCCGACCCGATCGCCCGTGCACTATAAAAGGGAAGTGCTAGTAGATCAGTGCTTGAACCAACTGTTGCCCCCCTAGCATCCAACTCGCGGCCTTTCTTTCCTGCTCAAGAGCACAACCCGCACCTTTCACCCGAATGAGTTCTGAAACCGACGCCCCTCAGATCACTCTCCATTGGCTAGAAAAGTCGCGTGCCCAGCGGATACTGTGGCTCCTTGAGGAACTCAACGTGGCCTATGACATCAAGACCTACAAACGTGACCCGAAAACGATGTTCGCCGACCCTGCGCTCCAGGCCATCCACCCCTTGGGAAAGCCCCGGTCCTAACTATTGGGGATTACACGATCGCTGAGTCCGCTGTGATTGTCGAATATCTCGGCGAGCACTTCCAGTCCTCGTCGACCATCATTCCCCCGAAGTGGAAGCCTGGACTCGAGGGGAAGCTGAACGGGGAGACGGAGGAATACAAGCGCTACCGATATTTCATGCACTACGCGGAAGGCTCTCTGATGCCGTTCATCCTCGTCTCGCTCGTCAGCAACGGTTGGTATTCTTACGGCATGATTGATGTTCGTGTCTGATGTTCCTATTTTCGCAAGACATCAAAAAAGCGCCGGTTCCGTTCTTCATCAAGCCAATCACCTCGCAAATCTCAGCCAAGATCATGAAAGGCTACGTCAGCCCCAACTACGATATGATTGTCGCGTTCCTCGAGGAACAGCTGGCTACCGCACCAAATGGCGGACCCTTTCTCTGCGGAGACAAGCTTACCGGAGCAGACATCATGATGAGTTTCCCAATCTTGGTTGCCACTCGAGCGACCGAGCTCATCGGAATGGATATCACAAGAGCAACACATCCCAAGTTGTTTGCGTATGCGGATGCCCTCGAGGCGAGCCCGAGCTACAAGAAAGCAGTGGAAAAGGTCATTGCTCTCGAGGGCGAATACAGTTTGGTATAATTCGATTATCTGTGCGGTTCAAGCTCCAGCGGAATAACATCAATTTTGATTATTGGTCCAATGCACATCCGTACACAGTACTTGCGACGTGCCGCCAATTATGACGATCAACGGCAAAGTCTTGCGCATATTCAACTTCGAGGTGATGCAGCCGTTTTCCAACAATCACCAAGCTGTGCAGAGGTTCTCCGAATGCTTCCTCAGGCTGCTCTGATAATTCCTGCAGAGTTCCCGCTATGATCCGCTCTTCGGTCCCACCGCCAACACGCGAAAGTGCAACCGCAAGAGTGGAGGTCCCGTCCAAGATTCCCGTTTGGCGCTTTTCTTCGATTTCAAGCAGTTGCTTCACAGCCAGCGGGATCGACATATATCGAGGAGGCTCGTAGATTTTGCGTCCACTGAGCAGAAATTCAAGGATAGGATCAACACAGAAAAGAATTACGAACCGCGCTAGATTATAATCGCTCTGCTCTTTGACTTTGATGTCCAACAAAACGAGAGTATGGAGACCCAACTTGGCATTTTCCTCGATGCGATCGTAGAAACTGTCCGGTTTCCACGTTTCCGTGAAAAATACGAGTGACACGGTCTGCCCGAACTGGTAGAGCTGCAGACCAGAAGCGCCAATCGCATTCATGATCGACGCGTTGTGGATCACGCGTGTTGGGATCCCGAGTGATCGTGCGCGCAGAATTATATCGGTGTGGGTGGTGGCCCTGAAAAAGCTCAGAGATATATCATCAATAATAGACGAACTCACCCCAGGGGATCTCCGACCACAAGCAGTGCAACATCAACGTCTTTTGCGCCGTCCAAGATCTCGTCGCTTCGGGTTTCAACCATGTCCCGATCCGCCAAGATGAGTGTCTTCTCATAGAAAGATTCCTTCCTTGCGGATAAGCGTGAATGAACAGGCGCAGGACATTAGCGATTGCTGACAGACCAGCCGTTCTTTCTGAACCATCAAGATACTGGTATAGGCTTCCAAGTATACACGCGTTGAGCCTTTCACAGCCTAGAGGCGATGGGAAAGGAGACTTCGGAGGTCAATTGTCAAGTCACCTCCAGACCCCGAACAGTAATGTCCCGTTCATCGCAGAGACCCAAGCCAATGATGTAGAACATGGAAGTTGAACGCAAAGATTCGGAAAGCAATCGATCATCAGGCTGTCAATCGGCGCGCCATCACGTGATTCCACGCATGGTTACGACCTCGCTGGGATTGCCACCAGTCCGGTATGCACATTCGCCAACACAGCATGTGTGACTTGATATCCCCGAAATTTCACATCAGGTAAGTAGTTCAAGAGCTCAACAGAAATCGCAATATAGAACGGCTGTTTGGTCCTGATTGAGTCGGACTCTACCAGACTTCAGAGCAATCTCGAGTACACGCAGAGTTCGAAAACTGATGTGGACGGCATCGAAACCCATCAGCTTCCCCTTCGTCAAGAATAAGGAGAACGGGCCTCCGGTCATACGAAGGGAGTCCCTGGAGGGAGATGTGATCTTGTAAGCGAATGAAAACGCCGCTCGATGATATCACAGGCCACGGAACTAGGCCCTCATGCCCAGACTCAGTGTCCAGCAGATTCGCTACGTTTCACTAGCGGGGATCGATGCGCATCGTGGGCTACAATGGTCGGGCAGCACGGTAAGTTCAGAGAAGAGATGAGTTTGGACAAGGGTTTCGGCAAAAACGTGTGATTGCAGAGAGAAACACAATACATAGTGATACATGCTCACCCAGCTCGAGATCACATCCCTCGACCGCGTCCTCTCCCGCCACGCATGGGCCCGCCGCGTCCGCCGCGACCTAGAAAGCAGCGGTGAGCTAAAGGACATAGTGGATCGTTCCAAGTCACCTCCTCGTGCTGGTGCGCCCCGTCCTGTCACGAGTGAGCGAAACTGCTAGATAGCATGTACGAGAACATACCCCGATTGCCGCCACCCACAAAAGACCCCCTGGCACCTCGCCCCGCATCCCTAGCACGATGCTGTTCATCCTTGACCGCGTCAAGCAGCGTATCGGGCACCCGGAGATATTTTATCTGTGTCGCGCGTTGAGAGGACGTCGCGAACGCCGAGACGCGTCACGCACTGTGCTCCCACGGATGTAGCACTCTTTCAGCTTCCAAAAACGATCGCCCTCGGTGTTCGTTTGGTATACTTCGCGTAACGTGATGTTCATGAAATTGTCGCAGTTGACGAGATGGCCGTTGAAGGTCTCGCCGTTCTTGAGCTCAACTAACTAGCGGATCATCCGGGTTTAGCGATGGAACGACTGGGATCCGCGACGCAGCATACCATGGGTTTGTTCTGGGCAGCATTCAGAAGCGATAAAGGCAACTGGAGCAAGTCAGCACAAAGCCTGGGCTGAATGAAGTGGGAGCGTTACCATTTTATTGTGGAGGGCAAGATCAAGAGTATGACGGTCAACATCAGCCAACAACGGCGGCACAGCCGATCACACCTTTGTTGCACGCGAGCATACTAGCACAAGTAGAGCCCGAGGCCTCTCGCAATCCATCGGCTCCGTACATTGCGCGCAATGTACCCGTTTGAGTACGCGTCAAAGATTTCGGACTGAGAGCGCATTGTGATTACAAAGTGCGGGTGCTCATGCCCCATTGCAACGCGTTCCTTCCTCGACTGTGTACTCTGGCTTGAGCCTGAGGTCCCGCTTCCAATCGCATCTCTGCAGCCAGTGATTTCGTTGCGAGGCAGCGAAAAGATATCAATTGCATCTCAGGAATCAAGATCGAGTCACAATCCACATTTTGATCTGACCTCCCATACCTACTTTCCTTCTTCCACCACCCCACCTGTTGTTGCTCTTGGTTCACAACCATGACCGCCATCCACATCGACGAGGCGACTGGATCGGACACCACCGGCGTAGGGAGTGCAGATCAGCCTTATCAGTCGCTCGGCTTCGCCCTGTTCACGCACGGCGCCGAGTCTTCCTTCCTGACCCGCAAGGACGCATCCGCGACGTATGAGGAGCCGACACAATCCTCCGTCAAGAAAGCCAAGAAGACTGCCGAGGGACTGGAGAAGAAGAAGAAGAAAGCGGATGAGATCGCACGCGCCGAAGCCGCTGAGAAGGAGAAACGGCTGCAGGTCTTGGAAGAGAGCAAGAAAATCGTTCTAGTCGAGGATGCCAGTCTGCCCAAAGCTACAAAGGTCTGTTCGCATTTCTTTGCGCGTTATCACATCTCTCTAACCAAAAGTCTACAGTCCAAGATCGCGCAACTTGAGCCACTCCGATCGCAGAGAGTTCGTGTGTTTGGATGGGTCCATCGACTACGAGTTCAAAAAGGACTGGTATTTATTGTTTTGCGAGATGGCACCGGCTACCTCCAAGCTCTGCTCTCCGGTACCGCTGTAAGGCTGATCGTACCTCAGCTGGCTGGTCGTCAACTGACTATTTCGTAGACTCAAACCTACGAAGCACTTACTCTCGCTGTTGAGTCCGCTGTCGAGCTTGTCGGAACTCTGCAGCCTGTGCTGGAGGGAAAGACGGCGCCTGGGGGCCATGAACTGATCGTCGATTTCTGGAAGCTGGTGGGTGGATCCCCCGGCGGTGAAGACGCGTTCAACAACAAAGTCAACGAGGTGGGTAACATCGCTCTCGATCGTTCATTATCTCACAGCCATTCAGCACTCGGACCCTTCGACCCTCGCTGATCTGCGCCATCTGGTGATTCGTGGCGAGACAGCATCGAGTGTGCTCAGGCTTCGTGCCGCCATGCTCAGCGCCTTCCGCTCCGTTTACGAAAAACACAGCATCATCGAAGTCACGACACCGTGTCTAGTGCAAACCCAGGTCGAGGGTGGCGCGACGCTTTTCAAGCTCGACTACTACGGCCAGCCGGCGTTCCTCACCCAAAGTTCTCAATTGTATTTGGAAACATGTTTGCCGAGTCTGGGAGACGTGTTCTGTGTGCAAGAAAGCTTCCGAGCTGAGAACAGGTAATACTATCCACACCTTCAGTTCAAGACTTTGTGCTGATTCTTCAAAAGTCATACCCGGCGCCATCTCAGTGAATACACCCACTTGGAGGCTGAGCTCGCTTTCATCGACTTCGACGACTTGATGACGCATATTGAGGCTGTGGTGCGTTTGAAGACCCTTCGGATTGCTTGATTTTTTTTAATCACGAGTTCAGATTTGCGAAAGCGTGGATATCTTGCTCGCGAACCCCAGCACCGCATCGCTAATCAAGCAACTCAACCCCGATTTCAAGGCGCCGAAACGGCCCTTCATGCGCATGTCGTATTCCGATGCCATCGCGTGGCTGAACGAGCATGGCATTAAACACCCTGCGGAAGATGCCGACGAAAACCCCATTCTGGATGAGAGTGGGCAGGTCGTGATGGTCAACCACGCGATCGGAGATGACATTGCGGAAGCCGCTGAGCGCCAGATGACGGATATCATCGGCGAGCCCATATTCCTGCACGGGTTCCCCGCCGAACTGAAGGCGTTCTACATGCGGAAGATCCCCTCGGCGGACGGCAAGACTGTGTTCACTGAGAGCTGTGATCTGCTGATGCCCAACGTTGGTGAGATTGTCGGCGGCTCGATGAGGATCGACGCGGTGGATGAGCTGGTTGCTGCATACAAGCGTGAAGGAATTCCCCTGGAGCCTTACTACTGGTTCACGGATCAGCGCAAGTACGGCACATGCCCACACGGAGGGTACGGTCTCGGTGTCGAGGTCAGTTTATTCATCTTCCCGCTCGATTCGTGATGTTGATTATCAATCCTCAACCAGCGACTGCTCGCTTGGCTTGCTAACCGGTTCACTGTCCGTGATTGTTCATTATACCCCAGGTAATCAAGGTTCTATCGAGTTATCAAATCGTGGCTAATATCAATTACCAGGTGGCCCGGCCGAGCGACGCCTTGAGTCATAGTGTAGATCATGTCTTCAGATGTTAGAAATGTATGCTCGTCAGTTATCTTCAAGGTCCCAGATGCGACTGCTGTTGTTCGCCCAATAGGCCCTGTGTGAGAGGAGTCAGTAGGTGGATGTGCCAACCTCAGAGCATGTGAAACGTACGCAGGTAGTTCGAGATTGCCATGGGATTTGGGATCCACAGAACGTGGGTCAGGGATTTCCATGGGAGGCGGTGGACACTCGAACGACGGATGGATGCATATCGGGACCTCCAGTTCGACCTCATTGGCCTTGCCCGGAAATCTGACCACAAATCGCAGAGAGTACTGCATAGCGCGGTGAGTTGAGCGATGCGCACGCAAGCAGCAGGACACAAAAGCAAATACCTTCCACGACAGATAATCAGCGCTGTACGTTGGAACGAGCGCGAGATTCAGCGAGCCCCGGAAGGTGACAGCGCGGTGCCAGGAACCTCGGCCCTTGCGATCCCCCGCGACCCATTGGGGCTCGTCGACAACGACTCTGGTGTCAGCCGAGGGACGGCTGTCCAGCTCAAAGTCATCCTCGGCAGCGCTCGTCTGGCGGCCGACATGGATCTCCATGCGGCGATGCAGATGCATTCCCACCTGGCCCGATTCGGTCGGGGGCGCGGGAAACATGGGCTTGCGTCGCTTATCCAGCGGTGCCTCGCCGCTCTTGCGCATCGGCTCCGTGGCCGTCTCTACCCGTAGAACAAAAGGGATGTCGGAACTCATGGGATATGCGGCGAGATCCGGAATGGACAACTAGAAACGTCTGCGCGTCAGATGAAGCAGACAGTGCCGTGATAGCGCAGCTCACCTTGAGATGCGCCTCGGAGTCTGAGCCCAGGATCCCGCGGCGGACCTTCTTCGTTGTATTGTACTCTCGCCATTCAGATTCTCGGGGGAACGTGAGGCACTCACGCGCTGCAACCTGTGTAATGGACGCCGGTGGGACAAGAGATATGAGCTGCCGGATCTGCCTCCTCGCAGTCACATCACCCGCTTTGCGGCCTGCCACCTCGATGCAGTAAGCGATCGTGCCTTCGTGGTGCTTCCCGCGCGTGTGAAACGACGGTGGCACGTCGTGCGGGAACGTGAATTGAAAAGGTGACGACAACGTCTTCTCTCCGGGAGAAAAGCGGAGGGTGTCCGAGTCCTCGCTAAGCAGTGGCAGTCGCGTGTAAAACAGCTGCGAGGTCTTACGCTCATGTTTACACACTGCCTCGAAAGAAGACTGACTATAATGCTTTGTTCCTTGTGAACAGTCGTGCGAGCGATGTTCACAGAGAGCCGGCTACATGCATAGGATGAGCACGGCCAGAGCAGAGACGAGCGGAATCGAATCCGTACGCATGAATGGTCCCGCATAGAGTCACACAGACTTGGTTGATGCCATCTTCGAGAGCGGCGCGCACGTCTATATCGACAAGGCCGTAGATAGTCTCCCCAGCAACGCGAGTGCAGTCATGAAAGTGAAGCGTCAAAGGTCCGTCGTTGGAAGACATAAAGAGGTCGTTGGAAGAACAAGAGGATCTGAGAGCAATGGGCCAGAAAAGTACGCGCCAGTCACTTATATGCCTCTGCAGCAAGGCCCAGCCTGCATTTCCTGGAATGTTTCAAGTAACTCCATAGAAACAGCGCGCCGGTCCAGGTTCGCGTACTCCAGCCACGCGCATTGTTTGGATGTGGCGGGTGCGTTTTGTCCTCGGCTGGAGAACACGTTACAATTGATATATAGGTTGCGATCTGGTCCCGGGGGCAGCGGGAATGCTCGCGAATGTCAACTGGACCAGTCACAAGTTACCAAATGAGGACGCGATGCCCGAATCAGTGGCGGTGTGTGTGAACGCACTCCGCGTCTGTGTCCTCCCCGTCGTGTATCTCGATGAGCGATGCAAAGCGTGTTTTTGCTCAGTGTGTGCTGTTCCTGGTCCGTGACACGATCTCTTAATATAGCAGCTTTATGGTGGGAAACACATACGTGAGGCACCCGTAGCGGCGCACGGGCGGACCCAATCTCACTCGTCTCCAGCCGTACAAAGGCACCGATTGGAATGCAGACATGACGCAGGCGGCCTCCCACGGCATGTAATCCCAGTCCCCTCGCATGCGGATAATCTGAACCGATCGCTCGGAAGAGACGGATTCGTGCTCAACGTCGGGAAGGAGGACTGGCAATTCGACCAGGTCGCGCGCGCATTTGACGCTGCAGCGGGCCTCACCCAACCCTTTCTGCTGTTTCTGAGCTTTGACATGAGGTGGGCACCGCTCCCGGATGCTTTGGACCGCGATCGACGCGAGTACAGTTCTATTCCATCCTCCTCTGCATCGGATACAGACCATCTCTGCCGCTACTTGCGCGCGTTTGGTTCCCACACCGAGATGTATCGGCACCGTGGACGTGTTGTCGTCTCGACCTTTGCGGGAGAGAACAGCCAGTTCGGCCAAGTTGGCGGTATGAACGAAGCGTGGACTTTTGCTCGACAAGAGATGGAGAACATCGTCCCAGTACGAAGGCTGCCCATCTGGAAATCTATCTGTATGCTGAAATTCGTGAAACAGATCATATTTATCCCCGCCTTCTTTATTGACCCCGCAAGATATCCTGATCTGCCAGTCATTGACGGCGCTTTCAATGTGCATCACTTTCTTACCATGCAGGAAAACGGCAACTCATCGATTGCACTCAGTGGAATGGGAGCTGGCCGAATCATCTCACACCGGGACATCCCCGCCATGATATCGAGCACCCTCGCCTCGATACTGACCTGCAGCACGTCAAGAGCCTCTCAAAGAGGTTGTTCATGGCATCCGTCTCTCCCTGGTTCTTCACCGCAAGTCGTTCCTCAACTTGGCACTTATTGTCCTGAATTGCATGACAGCATTACGGTCCTGACACGTGGAACAAGAACGTAATCTCCGTTTCAGCTCGTCTGCTACCCATCTCCACTCATGACTTCAAATCGATGTAGTGGATCTACCGAGGGGATGACTGGCTTTTTGTCCGTCGATGGGAGGATCTCGTCTCGCGCCGCGATGCGATCGATATCATCCAGATAATCTCGTGGAATGGTGGGTTGCATTTACACTGAAATGAATCCCTTATCGGCGCTGATGTCCATCCAGACTACGGAGAATCGCATTACATCTGCCCTACCGTTCGCGGTGCGCAGCCGAATTCCGAGGCCTGGGTCGACGGGTTCCCGCACGGAGCCTGGCTGCGGCTGAGTGCGTTTTTCATCCGAGCCTTCAAGGACGGGGTGTATCCTAGGATCGAGCGCGACGAGATTTTTGTTTGGGGACGCCCGCACACGCGATCGGCTACAGCTCCCGACTCTGTCCCCCGTCCAGAGAATTGGGAATTGGTAGGCTTCAGGCCATCGTAGTCCCGATGTGGTCTGAACGGTCAATACCAGACGGACGATGTGTTTTGGGTTCTGATCCTGTCGTCCGGAGCTGGAACTGTCTGCTTGCGTAGCGGCGAGAATGCTCCCGCGTTCACCTCCATTAGCTACGGCATCAACAAGTTGTCTCATCCACTTGACGTCGGCGGCAGCATGCTGGTGACACTGGAGCGCAAAGGACAAATCGTAGCTCAATGTGAAGCCAAAGGATTCTGTTTCACCGATCGCCCAGCTGTTTACAACTTCAATGCATTCACAGCTATGAGCCAATGAATCCACTTCATCACTAGAGCAACCGTGCTACTAGATGCCCGTAGAACTCCAAGCAGTCCACTCCAGCAGCAAGCGACGCCTTCAGAGCATCCCAAGAATTGAACAGTGTCTGTACACCCACGACATCGATGATCTCGTCCCAATCAATAGGTGGCAGCGTGCAGAGACCGTTCTTGATGTAACATGGAGCGTGGGTCGAGAACGCTCTATCTTCCAACGCGCTGCAGTCCGTCGACGAATTAGCAGAGCCCGTAGCCTCGGGCACCAGCGCCTCTTGCAAGCAATGCATCGTGTTGACCATCCACGTCTGTCCGGCGGGCGTGAAACGTGTAGCCTGGGCTTGGAACTTGGTGCAGAATTTCTGGCCGTATCCGATGGGGTAGCCCTGCGGCCCGCAGTGGTACCGCGTTTCTAGACACTCAGCGTAGAAAGAGCAGTTGTTCAAGGGCGGGGAGGCGCAGTTGAATGAAGATGTTGATGCCACTTGTGCCGCTGTGGACGACAGCGGGTCGGGTTTCACTGGCGAGGGGAGGCCAATGAAGACGCAGACAAAGGCGAGGCTGATATGCATGTAGAGTGCCGCAGATTGAGGGGAAGTTGGCTCACATTGCCGCCAGTACGCTGTCGGCGCCGCCCTCAACAACGCATCCAAGCCATGAACAGTGCACGTGCATACCTCAACATTGCAGCGGTTGAATAAGAGCACGGCCCGTGAGTACGTCCGTGATCGCGCCCTGGGTTTCTGGAGGCGGAGGCGTGAGAAGTGGGCATGCGTGTCGGTGCAGGAAACCCTACGACGTGCCAGATGCTGCCAGTGCCAGTCCCTTCGCACCAGGCGCCCTTCGCCGTGAGAGCAAGCTTTCTAGGAAGAATGACGTCACTACAGTCCGGATCATCCTTTACCGGATCCGGATCGCCCAAGATTTCAGACGCTTCGAGCCCTCTTCTCTGCTTTCGGCGGCCAGCGGTCCACCGCACTGTTCTCACATGAGTAATCGGCCGTACGACCGACATCCCCGGTCCTTCTCTCGCCGCCTATTTCAGACGCCGGTCTCCTACGGGATAAACTATTCATAACAACCCTTCGCAGTAAGGCTTAGCAGCAACGCTTCTCAACGAAAACTAGCTGAACCAAGACGCACTCCCCGCCATGTCCACAACCGAAGCACCCACGATAACCCTGCACTGGCTCGAAAAGTCGCGCGCGCAGCGCACCCTCTGGCTGCTCGAGGAGCTCAAAGTCCCGTACCAAGTCAAGACCTACAAGCGCAACGCGCAGATGCGCGGCGACCCCGCCCTCAAGAAGGTGCACCCCCTCGGCAAGTCCCCGCTGCTCACCGTCGGCGACCGCGCGGTCGCCGAGTCCGCGTTCATCAGCGAGTACCTGTGCGACCACTTCGCCGCGGGCCCCGAGTCGACGCTGGTCCCCGCGAAGTGGCAGCCCGGGCGCGAGGGCCAGCTCGGCGGCGAGACGGACGCGTGGATGCTGTACCGGTACTACATGCACTACGCGGAGGGCTCGCTCATGTCCGCGATGTTAATGAAACTCGTCCCATTCGGTGCGTCGCCTGCAATTACTGCAAGTTCCCGTTCATTCATTGACGAGTTCTTGAACCAGGCATGGCGCACGCGCCCGCCCCGTTCTACATCCGCCCCATCCTCTCTCGCATCGCGGCGCGCGTGGAGCAAACGCTCGAGCCAGAGTGCAAGGCCCACTTCGACTTCCTCGAGGCCCAGCTTGCATCCGCGCCCGAGGGCGGGCCGTACCTCTGCGGGCCCAACCTGACGGCAGCGGACATCCTGATGAGCTTCCCAGTGATGATGTCCCAGGAAGGCGCGAGCGCGATGTACGGCCGGGTGACTGAAAAGACGTACCCCAAGCTCTGGGCGTACTGCGAGCTGTTGAAGGGCATCGAGAGCAGGAAACGAGCGGTCGAGAAGATCATCGAGATTGAAGGTTCCTACGATGAAAAGTTGCTCTGAAATGCGACGGATGTTTCATTTTGTGCACAAGGAATCCAGCTATAGTTAATATATATGTGTAGTACTACAAGAGAGAGGGAGACAGGGACAGACAGACACCCAGGCTGCAGTGAAGGAGAGGAAATGATCGGAGGTGTTCTAAATATCAGACATACAGAACGCTCAGAGCGCAGAGGCGGAGAGTCGTCGAGGCCATGGGTGGTTTGGGCGCGCAGCGAGACAAGTAAGACCCAGTATCCAAAAAAGAGAGAGAGAACGAAAGATGTGTGCTGCAGCGCTCAACGCGGACTCGAGTGCTCCGATGTAAGCTACTAGATGATGGTAATAGTTGAGGATATCGATATGTATTGGAGATGCAGAGAGATGCGGGGTGCGTAGCCGTGGGGTTGATGTCTGTCTCGACCGTCATCCTCGGAAGACACGGGAAACCCTCGCGGCCGGCCCAGACTATGACATGGGGATGCCGCCCGGAGGGATCTTCTTCCACGGTGTCCTGTGATAGTCGGCCGCTGGAAACAATTCATCAGCCCTGCTCTAAGTCGACGCAAGATCGCCACCCACTATTCTGATATACAGTATTTCCCCACCAGTTCAGAGAAAGGGTACCGTTCTTCGGCCATTGTAGGGCGAAGAAGATCATCATAAGCGAAATGACCGTTCCACCGTCTAGCGCGGCACTGGTGATGTAGTTGAATTTGCTCCACCACGCAAAGTTCCGCTTCCGGATGTAGTACTGGAACAGAAGTCCAACTGCAAACCACGCCGAGTAGTTGATCCCGGTTGCAGGAGGAATGCCAGACACTCCGTTCAGAACAACAGGCGTGCTGATGTACTTGATCCAGCTGTTCGGATACCTGCGCTGCCAGAACCAGAACGGCAACGGGAGCACAGCGCCAATAGCCAGGGCATACAACTCCGGGTGGTAAATCGAAGACTTGCCGAACTGACGGCTGGGCCCGATGAGACCCCTGCGTGGATCAGTGAAACGATACTCTCGTGAAGCTGCAACCACTAACCAGATCGCGGAGGCCGTGAAAAACACTTGATTGTGCGGACATGTCAATTGGCTCTTCTGTGTTGGTGTGCAGATGTCTTCCACATTCGCAAATATCCACGTCTTGACTCCAACTTGCAAAAATGCAGCAATCACGGTTCCCACCAATTGCACGAGGAACGACGCTCGAGGCGGGACCTTGACGTAGTGACCCAATTTGAGATCCTGAATGAACGAAGTGGCCTCGGTGAGCGTTTGCACTGAATATGCTTTGAAGATCTGGGAAACCATCGGTGAGTAATGCTGTAAGAAGACTCGAAGCTATGCTCGTACCATGTTGGCGAGCGGGTTTCCCGGGAGCAAAGAACCGGGAATAATTTGAGCGAGCAGATTCAGGGTGATCTGCACAAAAGCATGAGATCAAATCATGAACATGCGTTGGCGGTCGAACCTCCTGGCCGGTCATTGCATAGATGAATCCAGATGGAAGAATATAGATGATTGGCAGGGCGACCGCGAGAATGAGGGCCCAGACAGGGACAGCCGTGTGCCACACCTGAGAGGCGATGAGAACGCAGACACAGGAAAGAAATGAGCACAAACCTCCATGGCGACAATAGCCAAGCTGAAAAATACACAGAAAGCAAGCGCATACCACCAGTCCGGGACCTCTGGATAGTTGCGCATCAGCTTGGCGTGGATGTCATCGCTCTCGACGCGCATCTTCTTCAAGCCGTTGAGGAGACTGCGGCCATGGTACAACAAGGTGTGTACAATCACACATGTGCTGAGTGCGAACGCCAAGAGATATGTCATGCTGTAAGTCGCAGAAAGATAGAGCGGACTGTAGTTGTCGTAGGCCGCCGGATCGAAAGTGTCGGCAGCAGTCAAGACCTTCGCAACGTCATATTGGTTGCCGAAACGGTCGTAGGGAACGTTGGCTGATATGGGGAAGTACGCAAGATTCCACGAGTTGGTATAGTACAGGGCGGGGACCAGGATCCAGAAGAACATGACAAATCCGAAGAAGACGTGGACCTGGGCCCACCAGGGAACCATCAGCGGAGACCCAATCCAGGAGATTTCTGTCCAGTCGAAGGTGAGGACACTCATGCCCAGTCCAGAAGATACACCAAACAGTTGGTTGAGCGGGATGTTGTTGGGTGCTGCCCAACAAACGAAGGAGAAGACAGAGAGCGCCTCGAAGAGGAAGCCTGGAAAGCACAGGGATTAAACGATGGTGCATTTCATGAACCGAGCAAGTACCTGGAAGGAAAAAGAACACAAACGCTCCTCCAGCGACCATCATGAAGTATCGATAGCGGGTCAATCCTCCAGACGATTCGTCCTCTTCGGCATGAAGCGTGTTGAGCAGCGCGCAGGCGACCAGATTTTGGGGCCAGACCATGCTCGCTGGCCAAACCAGGAACCGCCGACATATTCCCGCCAGACCAAAGCCAGTGAGCTGTGTGGCTAGTACCAGTAGCAGCGAGAACCAGTAGCTAAGCTGGAATGACTAGTCAAGGACGTGAAGCCATGACAGATTGTGGGAACGCACATTCATGTGGTAGAAATACTCCGATACGACGACGGCGTTGAGGGCATACGGGTTTCCCACAGCGACATTGGCCATGATAAAGACGAGGACATGTTCCTTGATATTCCAAGGTCCGGGGTTGAGAGAGAACTCGAGAGAGCGAATGCGAAATGTCCTGATGGGCAGCACGAAGGCTAGGAACTTGCCAAAGGGGTAGGCGATGAGAAGCAGGGCAAGGGGGACTACAGAGGGTGCAGGAGATCGGAAGTTGAAGAATACATTGAGAGATCCGGCTACGCCGCAGAGGATGAGCCCCACAAACCACATCCGGAAAGTCAGGGTTGGCATTTCGGGGTCGTCAACGTTCGATACCGACGCTCGTACTTCGGGAAATGGCGAGTCCTCCTCCTCAATGGCATCGAAGTCGAATTCCATTCTATGCATCGATTTGAGAAAATCGCCGAAAATGGAGCCGCTATCAACGCACTTTATGGACCCTTCCTCTGAAGCCTCAGTCTGAGCATAAGACTCCTCTCGCACATCATCCTTCTCCGCAGTGCCGGGCAAGGAGACGCGAACAGGTGTTGCAGGGTCGTAGACGGGCGCTGGGTATTCCAGTGGTGGATACTCGTGGGGAGCGCCATCGGCGGTGGTCGGGGGCAGGAACGCAAAGACATCATCGACACTGCTCTCCTCTGACTCGAGGATGGACTGGTCGTCGTAGGAGTAGGTTGTTTGCTGTGGTGGCCGGTCGTCGTCGACGGTCGTCGCTGCCGTCGACGGGGACATGGATGGCAGAGGAAGAGCCTGATACCACAATTTGATGGCGTGCCTGATAAGTCACACCTCACGCAAGTTGATACAAGCTTTCGAAATCAAATGAAGTCTTGGGTCTCGACAATCCCAACAGCGCGCCAACAACATGCTGTAGATCCCGCAAGCCAATCCGCGGCTCCCATTCCGTGTCTCATCTTTTTTTTCTGACGGCCACATCCATCGAAACGCGACAGTCTCAGGCACAGCGGACCTATCAAGCAAACGCCGGTCTTTCACCTTGCTTTCCGCAAACAAAGGACGCTTCTCAGGGCCGGTCAGAAAACTATTGCTGGGCAGATATAAATCGATCTAGGGTACCCTAGAGAGATGGATTCGGGATGTACTGTTTTTAAAGGACATTGAGCGAGAGATGCTATTTACGCTCACTCTTGAGCTTGAAGATGCGAATTGTTGCGCCGCATGTCATATTTGATAACGGTAGGATTCGAAAGTTGGCTCTTGATACTGAACAATCCGAGAAGTCGCACACGAACTGGCGCCTATCAGCTGAGGATAGAATCTAGGCACGCACATACTGTACAACCTGTGAGACACAAAGCCGTGTCTTTCTCTGCCGCGCATGTGCAATGAGCGTGGCAAGGACTAGGATTCCATCTTTTGGACCATTACGGCCAGCGGCGGCGGCTGCCAGCCGCTTACCTCTCGCTTACTGTATTCCAGTCAAAGGCCGTTGGGTCGGCTTTGTGACGGATCAAGATGGGAACTGATGTTCCCACGCACGGCTCGCAAGTAAGGCGGGCTCAAGTACCGAGCGCTGGAGGATGACCGCCTGTATAGCAGCTGTGCAGTGGTCCGAAGGGCTTTTGGACTAATGTGAATAAATTTCCTAGTTACCTGCGAGCCAATCACAGTTCCAGACACCTTCAGTCTCGGTTGCGTCCTCTGAGCCCGCAGCTCAGGCCTCCTCGAGTGCATAAGGATGTATTTGGGAGATGTCGAAGCTCTGAGCACGGCAGAAATGGAGACCAGTTCCATCTTGTGCTTTCGGTCTTGAAGCCTTGGCCCTCTCCAGTGACGAACAGCGGTGAATGATCCGAGGCTGTACGGTCTTGTGGCCATGCCATGATGCATGCCGACGCTTGCGCAGTTGCCAAGTTGTCACAGTTGGCTATACGAGGTTCTCAACGTGACTGGAGCAGATGGGGACTAAAAAACATAGCGAACACAAAGCCATAGACTGCAATGTCTGACAATTGAGTTCTAGCTAGATGCGATGTCTTCAACTCTAATTGCAGATGGCTGAAAATCTCAGTCTTGGCGCTTCAAAATTGTTGTGAATTTGATCCGCAAGATCGACCGTCGTCGTCCGTGGTGTGCGGTCCCTCTTTTGTATTGTGTGCGGTCTACGTCGTGCGATGTGAAAGAAACACCGAATGAACGCCTTACTGTATGTAGCGCCCATGGATCAGTTCGGGAGATTCTCGACCAACCAAGACAGAGGCGTCGCGCAACAAATCACCGCCCGAAGCATCGCCTGTCGCTTGGTTGATGCCCGTCACCGTTACATAAAGCGAGATGTGAGCGCAGCTCAGTCCAGTAGCCCAGCACAAGATGCACACCCCAGAATCCCTCTCTTTGCACTTCCCAGATTTCGTCCGCATCTCAGGCGAGGTGCTCCAAGGAGTCGTCGACATCGATGTTCCGCTGGCATTGGAGGACAAGATTGAAGATGTCAAAGTCAAAGTCCGCGGTTCCATTCTCACGTATGACGCGCTTGTGCTAGATTCCGCTCGTCAATAACCCCCAGACCCCAATTGCAGGAAATTTCTCGAACGTGAGACAGAGTGGAAAGGAGGAGAAGCCAGAGCTGAAAGCCACCTCAAGACCCAGACTCTCGAGGTTGGTGCTGCATGTAGCGATCTGCCAGAATCAAATGATTGACCACATAATTGAACAGGTTGTCCGGCTAGACCAAACACTCTGGGATCAGTCCAACGCGAACGGATCAGGGGTTCTGTCCTGTCCATTCCAGTTCCAGCTGCCGCCGAATCTACCGCCGTCCTTCCACTATGACCACAAGAATCGAACAGTGGCGATCAGCTATGCGATCGAAGTCGTCGGCCACCGTCGTGGGCTACTACACAGCAACCGCCGCGTGCGCAAGATTTTCTCCGTGCTTCCTGCAGGCAATGCATGGGAAATCAACTCAGCGGCAACACTGAAACAGGGTTGGCAAGGCCCGTGGAAGCCTCTTGAGCTCACCAAGGAGATCAGACACGGCATTCTCTTCGGAGAGTACTCAGAGGCCACGATCCAGGTGAATTAAACTAGCATCTGTGACGGACGATCAGCTGATTGCACCCAGTTCTTGCTCCCTGAGCTCAATTCCTTACCCACGGGAGTGCCCATCCCGTTTGCGTTCCACGTTTGGACGCGGACCAAGCCTGTCCACCACAAGGCGCTCGAGGAGAAGGGAGACAAACTGTTCCCGGCCCCGCCAACTTCACCCGCCGATGTCGAGTTCACCCTCGCACTCAAGGGCCACCTGAGCGTCCATGGGCAACGCGAACATATGGAGCAGGATTATGAGATCAAAGGCAGCCTTGGAGACGAAGAAAGTGTCGACGCCATACGCACAATCCGAGACGAGCCGGAATGGATTCCTCTCCCGGATCATGACGACAAAGGGTCGTGGAAACGAGGCGTTCACTTCGATGGGCGGTTCACGATAACAATGCCTCCGAGTTTCGCCGCTGCAACGGTGGAATGGAACGTGAGTCAGCAGCTGGGACATGCTCGGCATGTCGCAAACTCACCTATACCTCCAGTACTTCCTCCGGGTGAAATACGACTTCCCAGGGCCGGGCAACATCCTGGAACTCGAGCTTCCACTCCAAATCAACTCAGGTTTCGCCTGTCCTCCTCTGCCTATGGCCCCATGGGAGGCAGATACTCCATACACCTATCCCCTTCCCGAGGGACCTCCACCGATGATGACCCTCCCGGCGCAAGTCCCGTCTTTTCCACCTTGAACTTCTTCTGAATTGCTTTGCAGGGCGTACTGGTCGGGAGAGCACCAGAACTGGAGCGAAGACGACTGAGGCGTAGAAACGGAAGAGAGTCTGCGAGGGTGGATTATATTACACAATTATTACAATCACGTCTGGGCAGTCTGAGCAGCGTTCAGGAAGAGGATGCGAGAACGACGAACCTTAGATATTAAGATGCAGATGGTGAGTCCGGTGCTATCATTTAGAATTTTGGGGATTCGATGGCGGTAATGGTTCGCGCAAGGGATGCTCTTCTCGAGCCTGCTGCAACATGGGCTCGATCCCCTTAGCCTTCACTGCAGCCTGTGAAACGGCTCATAAGGAACCGACACGTCATACACATGAGTTGTACGGACCTGCAGGCAGGTTTGGTATTCTGAATAAACCTTGCCGCATTTCGCATGGAATTCATCGGCTTTGTGTTGATAATGGGCCGTGCGTTGCGCGTCCGTAGCCGACGACAAGACGGGCTCCAAATAGCCTTCAAACCAGACGTTGAAGCAGTTGTCATATTCCTTCTTCAGAGGCGTGCACTCGGGTGCCAGACTGTCGGCCATAATAATGAGAGGCAAGAGGTCAAGGAGAAACGGTCACGAGATGAAATAGGGACGCGACGGCTCGGCATCCCAAAGATGATACGTATACAGATGACGGTGATAATATTACACGAATGCGTTCCACGCCTTTGGTACACCACACATACAACATCTGGAATACAATTATGCAAATTAGGACCCACTTCACAACCCATAGCATCACATCGAGTGAGTGCTATCGAGAGCCTCCCATCCAGAAATCAACTGGTGGTCGAGAGAAGAAGGTATCTGGAGATCCGTAGAAGTGACTGAGACAAGTCGAAGTGTCGGGTGGTATTGGCTGGAAGGAACTCCCTCCCCAAAAGACGCTTTCGCAAACGGATCGACGATCTCTGGCAAGAGAGGAAAGCTGATCGAATCTGGAGTGGATGGAGCACTGTCGTACAAAGGCGAAGCCAGACTTGGCTCGACGGCGAGATGGCCTCCGGTTTTGATAGGCGCTGGCAGACTGCGCTGGCGAGAATAAGAAAAGGACCGCGCCCTGTGCAGAAGACTCTTGAGTCCTCGGCGCAGGACCCTGCCCGAGTGTGTCTGCGCGCCATTGGAGCAAATCGAGGCTTTCGACCGACTAGCAGCGGGGAGTTTGTATGTGAAACCGATGCCCTGGCCAATCTGCTCCAATCCGGCCGGGAGATTGGGTACAGAATCAGAGTTGGAGGGCGGTGAGCTGAGAACAGGTGAACTGAGGGGGCGCTTCAACTTGCGGAGCTTGTTGGTCGATAGCACAGACGCTCGCTTCCCTGAAGCGGCCGATAAGGGCTTGCGGATTCGGCGATGAAGGGCAGGGGAAGGTAATGCTAGCCTCAGCGCATCGCGGAACTCCAGAGAGTGCGAGCCCTGCTGCGGGACACTCGTCGAGCTCACTCGAAGTTCTTCGGCGTCAAGCCGGGCCCAGAACTGCTCCATGCGTTCTCGAGGGCTGAGCTCACACATTGTGGGCGAGGAATGGCTGCTGGCTGGTGACGACCCGGCCGAAGACTGCTCTCGAACCAGCGAGTGATCCAAGGGAGTGCATTTGAATATCGTGGGCAGACTGTCAGGGCTCAGAATCTGCAGGCCGAGGCTTCCTACCGCAGAGGCAGACCGAGACTCCTGCATAGTACGTGGGCCGCGGACTCCACTGAGAGACGTTCTGCGGGCTTTGTTCCGATTGTAGATGTCGTCCATCGAGCAGGTGCTACGGAGGAAAGGTCGCAGCATTCGGCGGGGCTCTTCACACAGACTTTCTACACGCTTGAGACGAGGCTGGACAGGCACTGCCTTGATGGCGGTGTGGACCGTGAACGAATTGTCCAACGAAGTATCGAAGTAATTGGAAAATCTGGAGTCCGGAGGGAGAGGAAAGTCCTGGCTTGTAGGTCGGACTTTGGGCGAGAGTGTTAAATCTCGGCCAGGCGATGCTGAAGGTACATAAGAGAGCTGCGAAAAATTGTACGATCACTCACGGATCCTTTTGGCACGAACATCTTCCCAATCCCTGTGTCGATGGCAGTGAGCACCGATTACTCCGACAAACATGGAGCGTACGTGTTAAAAAAATATGAGTGATCCCGTATTTTCGTGATCGACAATCGAAAGATAGGATTCCGTTCTAGGCACTTCGGAGAAGGCGATCAGCCGTTTGTATGCAATACCCCTATTCGACGAACCTTAATGATCAGATCCGTGGCTTCAAACGGAAGGGCCTCCTGAATCTTCGGATGTCCGTCAAGAACTTGACTCCTGATCGGAAGTGCTGAGTTGTGGTCAACGACCGGATTCTAAAATGTTCTTAGCTTTCACAAAAGCGCAAAATGGAGGACCACGAACGCGGCCCGTCAACATGAAATGCAAAAGCAATCCAAAAGACCAACAATCCACAGCGAGATTGTGCGTCCACGTTATCTCAGGGGCCTGGAACTCGACAGCCGAGCTCAGCGGCGGACAATCGTGGCAAGGCGGACTACCGCTCAGAAAGACTGCATTTGAGAAGTCGGACAGAACAACGTGACCAGTACGATCAATGAGGACGTTGGCGGGCGTAATGTCTCGATGGGCTATGTTCGCTAGATGCAGTGATCCAATCCCTTCAACCTGAAAGACTCTTAGTGACATCACAGCGCAGACCGAAGCAGCTTCTTACGAGCTCGCACGCAAAGAACATTGCCTCGACCGTATTGAGGGGATTGTCCTGTACGATGGTGGCCACGGTCACTTCGGAATGAAAGTCCTATGGCTCAAGATAAGCTAATTGGAGAGTCGCATTCAGAATTACGCACAAGAACCAGATATGTACAGTCGCCCGGCACCGAAAAAGCCCACCGAAGGCGATCTAGGAATGGCGAGTCTATTTCTCGTATGGACTCCATTACCAGCTTCTCTGCGAGCATGCCAGATGCAAGTGACTTGATAACATAAAACTTGCTGCCTGATCGCCTTCTGCATTTCTTGGGGTATTCAGATGTGGCAATAATCTCAAAATCGGCCAAAGTCGCGCAGGGTGGAGTGTGTCGGGTGTGATCAGAACCCGAAGAAGCTATGAAAGAAGATGTATCGAGCTCCTCAGCGATGGTAGGCAGTCTCGTCGGCCAGTGCTTCAAGTTGCGTGACAGAACCATGACTTCCTAGATCAGAAGGCGTGAGGAGGCTCTGTGTTGGTGCGGCAAGACACGCACTGCGATATCATCATCATCCCAGTCCGGGTCCAGGTCCATAACATCAGAGAATTGCTTGGATAATGTCAGTTATGAAGGGGAAGCGAACATGGCGAGTTGCACTTCAACAAGGTAACTGCATTCGTTTGCATTCGTTGTTCTGTCGTGGTCACCGGTCAAGTCGTTACAAAAATCGTATATGTCGTCATCGTCGTTTCCTTCAAATAAGCCTGAGCATGATTCCTGGATTGATCAGTGGATGATTGGGGAGAGACCGTCAGAGACACACAGAGAACGGAACAAGGTCTAGTGCATCCAATCCAATGCTCGGCGCGCGCGCGATCTCTTCGACATGAGGGCTTTGAGGAATATTTGCATTCTGCGGTTTGTTTAAATTCAGGAGGGACATCTTTCCCGCCGAGCTGAACGAACACCACAGGAGGAGCAAACTTTGGGCGGCATCTTCAAAATGATGAAAGCTTGTTACTGGTAAGTTTCTAGTCATCACGTCCAAGGTATTACTTTGGGCGAGATCACATACCAGAGAATTCAAGAGGTATCGCGAAGAAGACAGAACGAAATCGTGTTGAAATGCAAGAACAGAAGAAAGCGCGTCGTATATCACGCGTTATTTGGCGCTATGTACGCTTTGGAAGTCGTTCGTGACAGTGACAGGCATGCCGTGTCGAGACCTTATTAGTCCATAAGATTGCGATTATGGACCCGGTCGACCCGGGCAGAGGACGCTCCTTAGGTGAGCCGCAGAGCTGTATCCCAAGCCAAATTGAAGTCTACAAGGTATGGATCACCCACTTCTACAGTTGCGCATTGGAAGAATTCTAGTTGGGACTGGTACTGTGCTCGGCCTGCTCCATTTCCGCCACAAAACGCGCCCATGTCGTTTCATCCATTCCATAGCTCTCTCGCTCAGAATCTGGAAATGAACGGTCCTTGACTGCCGCAGCATAATTTTGTACTCCCTGTTCCCTGGGCGATTTCAAGTCGGCGAATCTCCGAACGAACTTGGCCTTGTGTCCAAGCCAAGTCCCCATCGCATCGTCCCAAACCAGGACCTGATCATCTTTGAGAACGGACGGATACGCATCATATGCTGAAGACGTACCTGCCCACTCGTGCCAGGCCCTGCGCCGATCCCAATTGTCGGAACACCAATGTTTTCTGTTATATAGCGCCCCAGTTCCTGCGGTATAGCCTCTAGCACCATCGAGAAAACGCCCGCCTTCTCCAAGACTTTGGCAGTGTTCACGAGAGCTTTTGCAGCCGAGAGATTTCTTCCCTGGACCTTATATCCCGAGAGAGCGACATGTCTCTGCGGCTGCAAGCCAATATGTCCCATGACGGGGATGCCGACAGATGTTAGCCGACGTATGAGCCCGGCAATCTCTTCACCACCCTCCAACTTGACTGCTTCGATCTGAGCCTCACGCACCATCCGCACGGCGTTGCCCACCGCATCGTCGATCGATCCATGGTACGACCCGAACGGCATGTCGGCGACCAGCAGTGGATGTGTCGTTCCTCGCGCCACCGCGCTCGCGTGATGGATCATCTCGTCCAGTGTCAATTGGGTGGTTGATTTGTAGCCGAGACAGACTTGTGCAAGGGAATCCCCCACCAAAGTCATGTCGATCGAGGTATTTAACGAGCACGCGACCGCCGTAGGATAGTCGTAGGCGGTCAACATCGTTATAGGAACTTTCGTCTGCCTGAGCTGTTGCAGAGTTTGGATGGTGACCTTACTTCGGGGCGGGACTGTTCGATGGCGATTAGTTCAAAAACACAAGTGGGCCATACCGGTCTCACCTTGTGCACTCTCCTGAGGGCGAACACTCATCCATCGTTGTTGGAGATGAATCCTCGGAAATGATAGCCTCGACTGGCGGTAAATGTTCATGGTTAATGCAGAGTGTAAGTATCAGCCCATTGCCCTGAAAAACTAAGCACAGAGCACCGGACAAAATTACCGGAGGCCCAGTGCAGATCATAATCACGGGATCCAAGATATACCGTAAGCAATCGGACCACTCGACGATCAGTCCACTTTGGGAACTATTCTTGGATTCTCGACTCGCATGGCCGAAGAACGGGCGATATTGACCCTAGGCAGCCCAGCATTTGCCGTCGAGGCACGGAATTTCGTGTCAGCCTCTTCCCTGTCTACTCACTGAGGGCCAGGACTATCAACGCCTCCTCGATGATTATTTGGTCGAAAGCATATCCTTGTCTGAAGTAGCCGACCATGCCAGTCTCACCATTGCGATCGCCAAGGCAGTAGCAGCACGAATCTCAGCGGGAAAACCTGGCTACGTTGCTTTTATCTGGTTCTTCGGGACCAGCCAGTTCTCGCCCTTCGACGAACACCTATAAATCCCGTTAGAACCCCATACTTATAGGTGGCAGATCCCCATATGCACCATGTATAAGTATAGGCTTTTTAGTGGATCTAGGGCTTGCTGAGCCAAATGCTGGCACAAAGGCTGCAAGAAAAAGCTGCCTTGTACTAATATAAGTACTCATGGGCCTAGAGGCTTCTTGTGGCATCCCAGTGCTATCACAAGGCACTGCTGCACATTCAAAATGGAAGTCCTACCAAACACCCTGCCTAACACCCATTACGGGCATTGCCACCTTCTAAATTTGGAAGTTCTGCCTGACACTCTACCTCACAGCAATCACAGCTGTGATTGACATCACACTTTGTGACATCACAGCTGTGATTAATGTCACACTTTGTGACATCACATCACCTTCCACCCACTGCTCTGCCCAAGTGCAATCACACATGTGATCTTTGTCATATTTGGTCATAAATTGTGATCTAGCCCACCCCTTTATTATTGATGCACTCAGACACCCCTTCTCCAGACTATCTCTGGTATAATCACCTATGTATACTACTACATAACACCAGTAGTAATAGGTGGGGCAATTCTTCTGTATCTTATTATTAACTCAAAGTAGCCCTATCAAATTGCTGGTTGAAGCTTAAAGACATCTTAATTATTATGTAACATAACTATTATAAGTCTTATATATCTGGGCTGAGAACAATTGTGTCTATTCAGCCACATGACTCCTATGTGGGGTGGCACTAAAAGGAAATATCAAGAGATTTGAGCAAAGAACATTTGTAGCATATCTTTTCTATTAGGTAAATTGTCTTGGATGCTGTAGACTCACTAGTGATTTATTCACCTGTGCTTGTAGGTGAAAGTTACCTAGTTTACTGAGGGCCAGGAAAAATTTCATTCCCTATCACTTTCTTTGTCAGCATCAAACATATAATCCACTCCTGTGTGTAATAACATAGCCTTTGATTGCAAATCATTTTTTGATAATCGTAATGACTTGAATTCTAATCTCATTGTATCTGTCCAACCCAGATTGAGAAAATCTACTTTTTTTGATTGCATCCCCTATGTGACAATCAACCAAGAATAGAATTGAAAAGACAAGTCAATTCCAAGACTGTGGGATACAACACAATAGCTACTATATTTATACTAAGTCCAGTCTGGGTCATATCTACATCAAACGTGTCATGGGACTATGTACTGTATGGAGTGTTAGTCATGGGTCATAGTAGAATCTTCTGAAGCACACGGCATGAAATCTCTTGTACTGATAATCCCTCTAAAGCCCTAGCCTGGACTGTGTGGTGCCATGATCCTTGATAAGATAAGCTTGTGTCAATGATAAGATAAGATGGTCTGATAGAATGATGAAAAATGATTGAATTATGACACCCTAACAATTAAATTCATGAAAAATCTAATCTTGATATGGCTGGTTGTGATTCAATCAGTGATTTGGTACACACAATCAGAATTGAACATGTTGAGGATGTGATTTTTTTCAGTGACATTTTGATGCAACTTCTAGCAATGCTAAAAGAAAATCCACATGAACTTTAGAACAGTGCAAGCTCATGTTGTTGGTCCTCTCTTAGCTTTACAGGATATATTCTCTTGTGTAACTTCATGTATTTGAGCCTTCAAAGCCACTGAACTGTTGTTAAATAGCCACATAGCCTGATACTTTTAGTGATACCCTACATAGCTTTTAAGACAAGATATATTTTCCTAGGCATAACCCTCTTTTCTCCTCACACTTTCTGTTTCTCAAGCAATCTCCTGCTATCTTAGTTCACACATTGAAGCTTGTCATTGCACACATATATATATGTGTGTATGTGCATAGTCATCATCTTCCATCCATCTTGCTTTTCTATAATTTCTACACTCCCAGTTCACGACAGGCATGCTTTGGCTAGTATAGGAAGTTAGCAAGATAAGTATGAACATAGAAACAGTAATAGGAAGAAATGAAAGTCACTCTTGTAATGCTGATATTCTTGGTTCAGAAGCCCAAAGTAATTTGCTAATTCACTAAATTAAGCCATTTGGAAATTTTACAATTCTCATTGTTCCAAAAATCTTGCTCTATCGATTTTATTCAGGTCTAACTGATTTCACATTAGTGAAGTAGAAACTCTGTGGGGAATTCTACCCTCTCTTCAATGCTGAAACATATTTCTACAGGTTCCACACTTGGAATATGGATTCCATGGCAGGAGAAAACCTCAAAGTCATATTTCTTCAAACTTGCAGTAGTTGTCACGCCAGGGGATCACACATAACACGGCACATGAGGAATAAATTATACTCCACATATTGGGACCCAAAAAATATGCTGACCCGACATGTTATATATTGGTGCAAAAGCATTCTGATACCACAGATATTGGGTGCTGGGCATGATCCAAGTGCCCAATATGTCACATATCAGATCCCTTATTTTTTTATGCCCCAATATGTAGGATATAATTGATTCTTGATAGGCCCTGTTATTCACAATCCCCCAGTGTGTGTATATCTCAATCTTGTTGAGAAAATTTCCAAATAGCTTACTTTGGTGAAGTAGCACATTGCTTTGGGCTTCCAAACCAGGAATACCAGCATCACAGAAGTGACTTTCATTTTTTCCTGATACCCTTGGTTTTCCTGCTTTCCTGTTGCTATATAAATATTAATCATACCAACTCTTCTTTTTCACAACACAAGCATGACGGGGAACAGACATGGGTGATCAGATCACTGCTCAGGGAACAACATCAAAAATGATCTATGTGATAAGATCCCCTGCGAAATGGTGCAGATCAAAACAAGTGTACCAGGCCAGAAAAGGAAATTTCCAGAATGCAAGGTCATTGTGGCTAAATTTATATTTATATCTTTTACTGAATAATGATTATCATCTGTGGCTGTGTCACAAAATGCCTCTAAGTGTTCGTCTTCTTTTTGGCCATAAGTAGACAACTCTAGTAATACCCAGTCATAATGAGTAATGGACTGATAATACCTAGTAATGCCTAGTAATCAACTAGTAATACACAAAAATACTCCATTCATGTTCTACTGAACAATACACAAGCCTGGTTACTATCTACAGCTTTGTGTCCCAGAACATCTCAAATTGGGCTATTTTCTTGTACAAAATCAGTTTTTTCAGGCAGCCCCATCTAAGCATTTAGAAGAGCCCATCTAACCACTTGGAAAAGCCTGTCCTTTGTGACTTACTTTCTCTATGCCCAATAGTCTTAAACCCTGCTTTAGTATTCTGTTCCCCTATATATTATGATACCAGAGATAGTCTGGAGAAGGGGTGTCTGAGTGCATCAATAATAAAGGGGTGGGCTAGATCACAATTTATGACCAAATATGACAAAGGTCACATGTGTGATTGCACTTGGGCAGAGCAGTGGGTGGAAGGTGATGTGATGTCACAAAGTGTGACATTAATCACAGCTGTGATGTCACAAAGTGTGATGTCAATCACAGCTGTGATTGCTGTGAGGTAGAGTGTCAGGCAGAACTTCCAAATTTAGAAGGTGGCAATGCCCGTAATGGGTGTTAGGCAGGGTGTTTGGTAGGACTTCCATTTTGAATGTGCAGCAGTGCCTTGTGATAGCACTGGGATGCCACAAGAAGCCTCTAGGCCCATGAGTACTTATATTAGTACAAGGCAGCTTTTTCTTGCAGCCTTTGTGCCAGCATTTGGCTCAGCAAGCCCTAGATCCACTAAAAAGCCTATACTTATACATGGTGCATATGGGGATCTGCCACCTATAAGTATGGGGTTCTAACGGGATTTACAGGTGTCGACGAAGCTATGCTTAGACCTTTGACTGGGAGCGGATGCCGCTTCTTCAGGTTATATTTGACCACATCAGTGTGAATACTCGTCTCATGCTGACCGCTCCCAGCGGTGGCGGCGCTGGATACGACGATGTCGGAACTCAATGGATGGCATCCCAGAGCGCCTATTATTGCAACACTCCAACGGCCATATCGATCTCCACCGCAAACGGTGCCCTGATGCTCATGTTGGCAGTGATGAGATCCGCTTACCAGGGCGATGTGTACACCAGATCTGGCAAATGGCGTGGCGACATATCTGACCCCACAGATATATACCCCATAGGACTGGACATCGAGGGTCTAACTCTGGGTATCATCGGTATGGGTACGATCGGGAAAGCGCTTTCGATTCGAGCACAAGCATGCGGGATGAACGTCATATACTACAATCGACGCAGGATGCCTCAGTCGGGTACGGATCTCCTCCAGCTCGCCGATCTCTGATGGTTGATTAGTCGTGGTTCTCAGAGGAGAATGGAGCTCGTTTCACCTCTCTGGACGAGCTGCTCACTACCTCAGATGTCATTTCTCTCAATTGTCCCCTTACAACGGAAACTCGACATATCCTGGGTGCCGCTGAATTTAACAAGATGAAGCACGGGATGGTTATCGTCAACACTTCAAGGGGCCCGGTTATCGATGAGGACGCGTTGGTCCAGGCGCTCAACTCAGGAAAAGGTCAGCATTGTTTTCCCAAGTACCGTTGGTGTCTCACTGGTGTAGTGTCGAGATTCGCAGCAGATGTCTTCGAGAATGAGCCCGCAATACATCCAGGTCTCCTTGAACCACACTTGGCTTACCGGGTCATGCTGCAACCACATTCGACTGGACGAACGACTGCGTCCTTCGTCAAGGGTGAACGGCAGATCATCAAGAGTCTGCGTGAATATATGTCTGGGCAGCGGCCCGAGTATACCGTTAATTTACAGTAGAGTAGATTTACATTATTTGCCTGTACAATTGCATCCAAAAATTGACTATCCAAAAGCATTCACTCAGACCACATACACATCTTCTTTCTCAAAACTATAATGATCCAACTTCTTGAAGTATTCAACGCGAGCTTTTCGCTCGGCATCCTGCGGGTGTGCGAGACCGTGAGATTCGACACAACTGATAAAAAAGCCTCCTCACCTGACGTGAGACCTTGTCCACTTGACCCTGATGTTCCTCTTCCTCTTCCTGCTCCTCATCAGCTTCTTCCTTCCTCCTCTTTCCCTTTCCCTTTACCGCTTTCTTCTTGGTACTGGTAGTCTTGGTGCTGGTGATCTTCCTCGCAGGCCGAGCAGCATCAGGTTTGACAGGTCGGTGCCTCGCGCTTCTGCGAAGAGGAGTATCTCCAGGAGACGGATTGGTCTTCTTCTTCGGGGGGGATTCTTCGTCAGACTCCGATGACTCGCCCGGCGAGCCATGTTTTCGCCGAAGTGAGGGACTTTGTTCATTTCCGGCGCGACCAACAAGTCCCGGGGTCCCCTTGACAGGCGAAGGGCTACTCGGTATGGTCGTCACGCCGGAACCCAGCGAGATTGCGGCAGACTCCATGCTGGGCTTGCCTGCCTTGGGTTTGTGGGGTGTGGCTGGCATCAATCGTCCGTCATCGCGCCCTTTGTCATCCGTGAGACGCGCGGGGTAGTGCTCAATAGCAGAAGCGTGATGTGGCGCGGGGTGGGGTTGTGCGTCCCGTTCCGCCTTGAGCTTGCGCTCGATTGCGAAGAAGCCAAAAGGGTCGGATTGGTTGGCTGGTGCGCGATTCTCGGCATCCGAGTCTTCATCCACCTCGCCTTTGTCTGAGAGGGATTCGAAATCTGAACGACCGAACGAAACATCGTTCTCATCGTCGATGAATGGGTCCAGACCAGTTTCAAATTCGTCGAGTGGCGCGCCGATGGACGGCGAGGTAGGACGAGGTGGAGATGAGGGAGGCAGAGATGAAGGAAGCGCGCGATTCGTAGATCTACTGTTGTCTACCACCCTGAGACGCTTTTTCTCGCCCATCGCACCCCCTGGAGCTTTGGCCCGCCGACGGGAGGATGGTGTTGGCGGAAGGGCGGCCGCGAATCGGGACGTGATATCTTGAAAAGGAGCCTTCTTCCGGTCCATTTGCGTTATTCTGTATTCAAGCAAGGTTTGTGGATAGGCTGTCTTGTGGGTCCTGGTGGGGCTGGATGAAAGTCAGTTGTCGTCAGTTTGACGGTGTGACCAAGTATGACACACGTGATATACGTGACTCGCGTTGGAGAGAGCACGTGAGGGCGTCTGCAGATGCATGTGCTAACCAAGTGCTAACTAACAGCCGTGTAGTAAAAGTAAGTAACGAATGACACTGCTTAGAGTCAGACTTGAGCTGCGTTCACAGTTGCCTCCATGAAATTCAAGAATAGTCTCATGCCTGACGCCTGAGCGCGGAGGATTTATGTCTAGTCTAGCACTTTTCATCACTTCCTGCGTGCGAACACATGGACGTGGGCTAAGCCAGGGATACTCTGGAGTCTCTGAGATTATAATTAGCGCCCATTTTAGTGAGTTCGAGCATCGCACTCACAGGTGGATTGACAAACCAGGCCGTTTCCCATTCTGTCTCTATCCACCGCTTCTTGATGAAGTTCTCTGTGGGTTGTCCGGCTAGTCGCACCATTTCTTCCTCTTCTGCTGTTCCTTTCGCAGATATGATCATCTTATCCAGGGTGACACCCCAATCTGCCAATGAAGGTAAGCATGATGGGAGTGTGGAGGGAGATGGAGGGGGCTCGTCGTTGCCGGTGAACCCCCACAGCCCATCCTGCTCGATGCGGGCCCTGATTGATTCGGGAATGAGAGTCGGATGGAAGATGGGTATCCGTGTCCACACCAGGGTGTGTTCCACCTCTACAGGGACTGAATAAGGCCAGTCGTTCTGGATGATGCTAATGTATTCAGATGGGGTGGACTCAGAAAAGTAGACCGGGGCATCGGCTGGGAGCGGCGCGAGTTCTCCTACCACGATGGGCTGAGATGCTGGAACGGTGGACGCAGCCTCGTCGGTGATAGCAGAGCCAAGAAGTGAGAGTGTATCGGGTTTGCCCCATTGCAAACGGTGTTTCATGAGATAATCGACTGTGAAGTGGATAGGTCGGTCTGAATAGACACCAAGACTCAAGAATGGATGTAGCCACACCGATTGAGCCATGTTTCTCCTTGACTCCGCCGATCCAAACGTTGTACCGCTTCTGGAGTCGCTTGTCGCGTTTCAGCAGTCCCAGATCGCCTGAGTTGACGAATGTCTTGAGCTGATTCCAGGTGAATTTAGCGGGGTAGTGCAGCAAAAGCTCTTCGCGAGTAGGGGGGCCAGTGCCTATAACAACATTGGGCGTCTGTAAATCGCCCATGATCGTGACGGAGTTGAGCAAAGAAGAGGATGTGCGACCCTTGCTGGTTCCCTCAGGCAGAATGCAGGGAGGTCGGATTCCCGGCCCGGAATATCCGCGATTGGGATGCAATGCATGCAAGCTCACACTCAAACGATACTAATAGAGTTCATTCATCGTAGCTTTGACACAATCCAGCGATCCTCCACCCCTTCCTTCCTCCTAACGTGCCCGAGCTGTTCCGTTCTCTTGAACCAGTCGTCCAGATCCACAGACGACGAAAGACCCAGAGATCTCTGCAGCCAGTCTCGCGTCTGCTCATCTTTCTGGCATAACAGCTCCCTGTAGGCAGACCGCATAATCGTCCAAGACGTGTCTCTTGCCTTCCCTCGCAGCGAATCGATCAGATGGTAGATGGCTCGCGGTGCCAGTCGGTTTGGGTCCGAAGCGACATCGAGAGAGGGCACGGGAACAGAGGGAGGGCGGAGAATCTGCTCCAGCTGCGCATAATTACGTGTCCTCAAGCAAGTCGCGAGAGACGTGATCCAAACGCGCTCGGAGCAGTCCGCCGTGAACAATGCGATGGGCAGCGCATGCAGGAATGAATTGTATTCGCGTTGCGACGGATAAAATGTGATCAGTTGTTGCAGTAGCCCAATGACGATCATTTGGGAGCGTTCGGGATCCGGGGAGATGGGCTCGTGTTGTATGAACGCCATGAATGAGGGAACGATTGCACTGATTTGGCGAGGAGAATCGAACAGTACGGAGAGTGCGAGAGAAGTCTCGTACACTGAACTAGAAATGAGATATAGATAAGATTTTCTGGCGCGGAGGACATGCCTTCCAGAGCGAATTTCCCTGCTCTCTTCGAGGATACGATCCCCTCCCGCAACTTCCCTGGGGGCAGTCGTCTAGTCCTAGACAATGTGTTCGGTGGATTAACTTACGCAGAAGGATCAGTATGGTTTCTTGGGAATCAACACGCTTTTGAAGCTCTTCCTTTTTCTCGTCGCAGCTTTTAGGATGTCTTGTCCACAAATCGTCAATCTGGTCGGCAGTCAGACAGGGGAAGATTGATTGGCCTGAATTCGCACATACCTTCGCCTGTATATACACGCGATATTCATCTTGAGTGGATGGATCTCTTAATCTTGGAACTGTGATCTGTTGCAAAGCGCTAGAAGAGTGCTGGATAGACGCACGCGTCTCCATCTTTGTCCAATCCACTACTGCGACTGACCGAGGCTATAAGATCCATCCTTCGTCTGGGATTGGAACTCGTCACGGCTGAGCGAGTCCTGGGTGCGCTCTGAGCATCTTTCTTCGTCCTCGCTCCAGACATGATGGGGGTGCAAGAGTTTCCGTGACAGCTAGTAGCAGTGACCTGCTAGACCGAATTTCACGTGCCCGCGTCCGGCGCGCCTAGCCGACCACACTCCGGTCTTCGTCTTCCCCACATCCCACCTGCTCTCAAATACTGAAGAATGTCTGTCGCTCATGGTATACGATCGTTAGGGGTGCTCGGTGCTGGTCAAATGGGCCTAGGCATTGCTTTTGTTGCCGCTCTTCGCGGCAAGGTCCCCGTTCTAGTCCATGACCGTTCTCCGGAACAGGTGACCAAGGGTCTAGCACTTATGGACAAACTGCTGGCCAAGGACGTGTCGAAGGGCCGCATCACCTCTGAGGCTGCAAAAGAAGCTCGGGACCGCGTCTCTGTCATTGGCGCCGAGACAGGGCTGAAGGGTTTGCGTGACGTCGACATGGTTGTTGAGGTACTGTGACGGCCACTGTTGTCTCGTCTACATTCGTACTAATTCGATATTATTTCAGGCTGTATCGGAGTCGCTTCCTCTCAAGGAGGCCATCTTTGCCTCCTTCGCTGCGGAACTTAGGCCCGATGCGATCCTCGCCTCGAACACGAGCTCTATCAGCATCACTAAAATTGCTGCGGCTGCCATTCCCAAAGGTGTCAGCGCAGCGAGCGAGGAGGGAAAGGCCAGTGCTGGCAGAGTGGTCGGCTTGCATTTCTTCAACCCCGTCCCCGTAATGGTGCTTCGACTTCTGTACATTCGCGATTCAGCGCTAATGAGGCTCACCTTCTTTTCAGAAACTTGTTGAACTGATATCGGGTCTTCAGACCCATCCAGAGACTCTCGATCGGGCTCGGAGTTTCGCGATAGCCTGCGGAAAAGGTGAACATGAGTTTACGCGGTCACGTTTCGATTACTGACTACCGTTTCAAGAGGTCACCACGTCCAAAGACGTCCCTGGCTTCGTCTCCAATGCTCTCTTGATGCCTTTCATCAATGAAGTATGTGTTTTATGGCTTATACGCGCCCACTTCTTTTGATGCATGTGTCTTCCAGGCAATTATGTGCCTCGAAAAGGTCTGTTGTCTCCATTTCAAAAGGTTTCTCCTCACTCCAGTTTGCAGGGCACTGCAACCCGTGACGATATCGACACCACGCTAAAGCTCGGAATGAATCATCCCATGGGTCCATTACAATTAGGTCAGTCTGATATGAACCTATGTCACTAAGAGCTAATCTTTCTGCATAGCTGATTTGTGCGCTCAAAAATCTTATCTTGTGCCGGCACTAACTTGAGCTAGCATCGGCCTCGACACCTGTCTTGCCATTCAACAGACGTTGTACGAAGGCACCCGCGACTCCAAATACCGACCGAGCATTCTACTAGAGCGGATGGTCGATGCCCAATGGTATGGCAAGAAGAACGGGAAGGGGTTCTACGAGTACAAAGATTAGAGCAGAGATATACATCATTACGTAGCGGCGGGCTCTAGTTGTCGGGCATCCCACTATGCTTTGGGCTCCGGAGGGCGTTCTGAATCGTCTTGGATATCAAATCTCTGCGTTGGCGGTGGGACGAGATCGACGTGAGGCAGTTGCAACGGGGTTCCCTCAAACTCAGCCCATCCTCCCCGAAGGCCGAAATCGACTATGCGCTCCGTGATGCGCGTTAGTTCGTCATGCCTAACAGCCGAAAGTCTGAGCAAACATAGAGACAACAGCTCGCCTCGTACCGTTGTTCCAGCCCGCGCATTCGCTCATCCATTCCTTCCGTCAATTCGGTCACGCGCGTTGTGAGTTCTTGAACCTTGGAACCCAAATCCTCAAGCTGCTCATCGACCACGTCTCGTCTCTTCGATTGACTGCGACTCGATCTCCATGTTTCTCCCAATATCAGTCCCGCCGCGACTGAGAAAAGGAATCCTTCCGCCAATGCGTTGGCGCCGTTTTCGATTGCACTGAGAAAGAATGAGCAGGGACAAGACACAAGACGGAAAGAATGCCGGACCGGGTCTCTGAGAGAGGGCGGATGTGTTTCGCGGGCTCACCGAGGATGTTCGTGCGCAAACGGACTTCCGTTCGATACATCATCTGAGCGAGGTTGATGCAAACACCCCGAAAGCGCTCGTGTCTGCAACAGTTGGATACTTGGTTATTAGAATTGGAAGGAATCCATACTGCTGTGCTTGTTGCTTCAGTCTCAAGCTAATGGGCTTGGCGATTGTCTCTCAAAAGACGCGAATCAGAAAGAGTCGAGAGGCCCGCACGAGCAAAGAACTCACCCGAATTAGAAGCGTGGCAATTTTTGCGGACGCCATATTGTAGTTAGTCCCGAGCGTCTAGGTCGCGTAAGTTGAGAGGAGATGAGTGTTGTGAAGTGAGTACAGGTCTGGAGAGCACCCAGGGTTCATCGCCGCTGCGGCGCGTCCTCCCGGCAGATATTCCGGAATTGATTGGCAGGTGTGATGGACTGATGCGGCACGGGTGCAAATTGCAATAACGCGCGCCTCACTGAAAGACCAAGCGCAATCATAACATACATTGCTGATATACTGACGCGGCACAGAGTTGCCCTGTGGCCTGAACTACTCCGCAGCCCTAATGGAGATCACGCACTCCATGACTCGGCTCCCTTCGTGAGTGCTGTCATGCTCTTCACAAAGCTTCACGCCTCTAGGTCGGCCCGTGCATCTCGGTTCCATCCTTGCTGTTGGCTTATGGGGGTGTCTTGGAAGGTGGGTCATTGTCCGTATCACTACCCCAGTACCGTGAGTGACGCCTGGAGCTCAGTAAGCAATGCTCCATCTGGTTGGGGCGTGTCTTCCAGCGGTCCAATGAGCACAGAGGCTTACATCTATCTCGGCTTCTTCTTCGTTCTTTACCCGTTTGCCGTGTCTAGAAGGTCTGATGTGGAGGCCGGCGACATAAGTACATCTCGAGAATATAGTCCACTTCATGGAATAATACAAGCAACCTACAAAGACAGCACACGAGTCAGTCCATGGAAGATTGAACTGGCTTCTTCGCTTGATTGATGTCGGTGGCGCCATCAAAAACCTCGGTTGCTGGCACACGCGAACAACACGTGCCTGAGAGTATAAAAGCCCCAGTGCGGTTGAGCGGAACATCTTCGCGCTACCCCCATCTTCCTCTTCTTATTATGTCTCGTCGCACCAGTGATGGCCTTCGCGGCCTGCAACGTTTTGAGGAGTTCTACTTGCCTGGCGGCGACCTTTACTGTCTTGTACGGGAGTTGGCCTGGGCGATCGCAGTCGATACTCATGGGGGACGATCTATAACAGGTCCAGAACAGGATGTTCCGAGTGCACCGATACTTCTTCGAGCGGGAATCCAAGTACTTTGAGAAGGAACTGGCGACCCCCGTTGCTCCTGGCGCGCAACGGCTTGGTTCGACCGACGACAGCGCCATTGTGCTCAACGATGTGCGCAGCGACCAGTTCGCAAAGTTGCTCTGGGTGTTCTATAATCCGTAGGTTGCCCGTGTTTACTGGTGGCTGCTGCTCGGCTGACAACAACTGCAGCAAATATTCATTGTACGAAGCAAGCGTCGACGATTGGGCTGGCATCCTCGAACTTGCTTTCCGATGGCAGTTCGGTGAGGTCAAGAAGCTCGCCATTCGAGAACTCGAGAAGCTGGAGATGGCCGACATTGACCGAATTGTGCTCTACCGCAAATTCCAGGTCGACGAGTCGTTGTTGATCATGAACTACGTGGCCTTGGCCCAGCGGACCGAGTTGATCACGCTGGAGGAAGGCCAGCGCCTAGGAATGGAGGTCGTGATCGCTCTGTCACGTGCTCGTGAATGTCTGCGCAACACAGCTTGCAGCGGATCGCAGAGTCCTTCCCCGTCAACTGTGACCGAGAATGATGTCCGGGAAGCCGTACTCCATCATTTTTCCGTCTCACCCTCGGAGCCCACAGGTGGATCGTTGTTGTCGTTTTCCTTCTTTGGCAATGCGCTCATCCACGGGTCGCAGAGTCCACCAAGACGCCCGCGAACACCTCAACCCCGAACAACTCAGTCACACCCATCCCCCAGCGTCCAGCCACCCCCGCCAAGATTAACGGCGCAGCTGGTGGAGCCACGAATGGGCTCACCAATGGCACCGCTCACGCCAGCGGTACCGCCAACGGCACCGCCAGTAGCACCGCTATCGGTACCACCAACGGTACTACCAACGGCACCAACGGTACCACCAACGGCAGTGCCAACGGCAGTTCCAACGGCAGTGCCAATGGTAGTACCACCGGACCCGCCAATGCCGCCAACGGCACCACCAATGGACCTACTAGCCTCGTCAACGGTACCACCAACGCCACCATCAATCCCAATAGCGCCGCGACTGGTCCCGCCACCGACACCGCCTCCAGTACAGCCACCAAGCCCGACCCCCCTCCGAAGCTCGACACCAAGCTCGACGGAAAAGCGACCGGGCAGGCCAAGCCTGAAGGTGCCGAAAAACCAGATAGTACAGCAGCCAAGCCCGACGACAATGGTCCCGGAGCCGGGAACAAGACACCTGGAGGAGCTGGAGGCAAGTCGAACACCAACGGACCCGGTGGTAAACGAAACAAAGGCTGGGGCAGCATCGTCTGAAGCCCGTGCAAATGACCTTCACGACAAGAGAGATGATAAAGCGACGATTCCAGGACCCGACGCAGGCGTTCGTACGAGTATTTATGATGGAGCCACGGACGAAACGAAGAAACGTCTGCCCAAGCCGGCTCAGTTGAAAGTCAAGGTTTCTCCCAGTCCTTCCCCCGCTTCGAAGCAGCCCAGCGCTGCCAGTAATGGGGTGTTGGATTGGTTCTTGGGCTCGGCGTAAAACCGTTTGGGGGATCGTATATAAGATATGTATTGCAGAGATGACAGGAATTCATCGGTGAACTGTTTGTTCAAATTCTTTTGCGACCTAGAGGGCAACTTGAGGATTGGCAAATTAAGACATCCAGTACGCACCTTGTCGAGGTACTCGTCCGACAAACTGTCCTCATTCTTCCTCCTCGACGTGCGACCCCATATGACCTCCTTCCACTCTATTGGCTCTTGCTGAACCCCATCTAGATCCATAGAGTATGTCCTGGATGCCGCCAGCCGTTTCACCCGTGCCAGTTCATCGTCGGTGATTGGGGCATTACTTTTGAGTCTCTGGACAGTGGATTCGAGAACCGAGATCCGGGCCTCCGACGCGCTCTTTTCGGCTTTGGTCTGCTTGAGCTTGAAGTAGTAGAAAAAGGAGGCTTGGGCCAGTATTAGAGCATGAAAAACAGGCCTCCGCTGCCCCGAGAACGGCATGGAACTGGCAGTGGAAAGATGAAGTGCGCGTTTGATCCAATCGGTGATGGCGGTGATGGACTCGAAGACGCCGACTTCTCTCAGCAACTAAGTATCATGTAAAGACAACTTTTTGAAGTCTGCGCGCCCGAATCTTTCCATATCCTTCCCAAAATTTCGGCCCTTTGTCTCTCTACCTCCAATCAACGATTAGCTCACACAAAGAAAAGATCTGCTTTGAATGTCTGCTACACAAAGAGAGGGCGGTATTTGAGCTTGAGGCGAGACTGAACGCACTCCGATTGCTCTCTCTTTCTGGACCCGTATCAAGCTCTGAACTCTCCTCTCCCTCATCCTTCGGCAGAGAAATGGCTCCTCAACGTAGTACTGTCTGACAAACGACTAGCTCGAATGGCTGAACCTTCAATCCTCAGGTACCAAGAAGCATGGCCGAGCAAAAAGGGCGAGACTTACAATTCCTACTATCAAGACTCGTGCGTTTCCCTGCTTCTGGTCTGACCAAGATTCGAGTTTGAGCCTCGTGCTCTCGCAGAAACGTTCACGGCTCTACATTGCCTCTCATTAGAGACCAAGGATGACTCAGACCAGCAACTGGACTTTGCTATGCTTTTCGATAAAGGTGGGTGAAACTAGGCATTGGTGTTATCTTTGAGCTCACTCTTTCAGTGCAATATCTCGCACGTATCAGAGGGATGAGTTCTCTCCTACAGAAACGGGCCAAACCTGTCGCAGAACAGTGGTTGGGCTCGCTACCAGAGTTGATTCGCGTCGACTATCAGTCAGAAACATTTGAGATTACGGCTGCAGGTCTTGAAAGGTAAGTGCTAGCACAATGCGCAGGACTGGGCTGATTTTGTTAGATTCCGAGATATCCTGGGTCTCGTGCACCCTTTCGCGCAAGACGAGAAAATTTCTGTCCTTCAATTGGACGAGGCGGTGAATGACCATTACCTCGGTGCAAAACAACGTAGAAAGCCTGAGGTGCGTGTCAGTACGCCCTCCGTTGGCGTTTGCATTGTGACTTCTGATGCAATGGAATACAGCTGCTGAAGTTGGTGGATGTACAAACGAAACAAATGACTACGAAATCGGTCGAGATAGCGAATTCCAAGCTTGAGAATGCAAGATTGAGACTGGAGCTTTCGAACGCACGAGAAAGAGGTGACTGCTGAGTATGCTGCTGAATGTACCCAATCGCTCACAGGCCTGGTGTTAGTTGCTCTTCCCGTCACACCCCAGCGCATCACCCGCTCTCATTCGATGAGTGCCGTGCCGTACTTTACGCCTGAGTCCCTTCCTCGTCTGTCGTCTCTGGCCCGCCCCGTGCCCTTGCCGTCGTCGCTATCTACGCAGGCCTTTACTATGGATATCGACGACTCGGACGATGAGGATCTGATCCGCGGGATGCTCACACGGCCCAGCACGGCGCTGCCCCAGCCGAGCTTTCGTCACGAGAACTCCTCTGCAGTGCGTTCCGAAGAATTTCTCAGTCTGTTCTCTGACAAATGTCTCTCTGGCATTAAGGAGCCTCTGCTGACCTTTTCCCGACAAAGTGTTTCAGATCATTTGGCCAACAAGGATATGGAAATCGGTGCTTTGAGAGAACACATCGAACGACGGGATCATGAGGTGCATCCGTTCACGTTTCTGGCCAGCGTTTCGCAGCTCATCGAAACCTCCCAGTTGGAGGCAACCTCTGCTGAGAATGAAGCCTTGCGTCTCAGACTCCAGGACCTCGAGGACACTGCCCTCTGCGACCACGAGGATTTCCAAGAGAGTCGTCATAATTTGACCAGTCTCTGGGAGCATTCGCAAGATGAAACAGAGCTGGTTCGCTGTGAATTGGAGAAGTTGGAGGCCGAATCGGCGACAGCGAGAGGATTCTTCGAACGCTGGGGTCCCTCCTTGATACAAATGGGCAATTTCGTGTCATCAACAGTCACTCTGCGCGCTCTGGCCTGAGCGATGGACTACATAGGTTCACTCGGTCTTTGTATTGTTAAGCTACTATAGCTTCAATCATGTCCTGTAACAAACTGCTTGCGCCCCGTCGCGCGCCAAGGCGATCAAACAAGCATGGGTAAACATCCCGACACAGCTTTTGATTGCAGTGCGCTCAGTCCCATACGCCGTGGCTCAACAACTTGTTATATCTATCTGTGAGTGTTTCTTTTCGATTACTTCCGACAGGATGTTGTAGTAAAAGGGTCGACCCGTCCAATCCACCGCTGGTGCTCCGTCGTCCCTCCGCTTGGTTTCCGAACCGCGAAGGTTCAAGTTCTCTGCGCGTCGCTCGAGCTTCATGTGCCGCGCCGTAAGGCTGAACCCACAGCACTCAGACTCTTTTCATCATAGGCAGCTCTTCTACGAGATCCACGGTCCAGCTGCAAAGGCAGAGTCTCAAAACACACTTGATGTGTATACGTTTTATGCCAAGCCCGCGCAGACAAGCATACACCTGCGCAGGGCGGTCTCTAGATGTGGTTGTCTTCGGACGTCATATGAAAAGCCTGTCTTAAGCTTCCGAGCTGCAGGTCCATGCTCGAGGAGTGTGGTTACTGGCTCACACGGCTGGGGCGGATTCCGGGCGAGATACGGGCGACTGGGTGCTGGACGGGACAATGGATTGGCTTCGGGAGATGAGATCTCATGCAAGCCTGCTTTTGCAGCACTGATCGTTTCTTCTTCTGCTTCTCATTCGCTGTAACATGGGTACTGATTGATGCATCCTAGATTCTTGAATTCCGTGCAGGACCATTTGTTCCGTTGCTATACACGATTCCTTCGTAGTCCACTTGGACTTGTGACACCGATGTTCTCCGCCTGTCGGTCTCGTCCATCTCGCCGTGCTTGCCTTGATTTTCTGCAGACGGCCTTGACCGGCTTTTCTGTCGCATTTCTGCTTTGCCGTCGCAGCCCGGACGAGTGTTCCGAGATAGATAGGACGCAGTGTTATGGCATGAAAGATACGGAAGACATCTGGGGGATCGCGGATCTGTTGAGCCGAGCGTTGTTAAGAACGCTCCCCGAACCGTCGCCCTTCGAAGTCTCGTGATCTCATCCTCTTTCTGCTTGTCTGAATGTTCAGGTTACGATCCTTACATCCAGCATCCGATCGCGAAACTCTGATAGACATTCAGAAACTCCCACAGATTCGGATGCAGTATCTGGTGTGTACATAGTTTTGAGTCAACTCGCGTTACTTTGCGCAGGCCGTTCTTTCGGCGTGTTATCCGAGGATGTAATTTGTGCATGCACAAGGAGTTCTTATAGTGCGGACGACGGCCACACAAACACTGGGAATCAGCGATGAGCGGCGCCAAATCCCGCGGAGCATGCCGGCCGAGCTGTGCGCTCAGCACTGAGCCTGGATACTAAAGCTCCCAGGTAGTTGCGAGCTTCTCCCGGCCGGATAGAAAGTGTGGCTCGCGGGCTGGTGTAATTATCCAAATAATTGCCTTCGTGGACGCAGAGTATCCCCGGTGCCTGTGGAAACCAAGTAATGTGGCTCGTCTTGATGTGTACAAATCACAATCGTGTTCGCTGTTTGAGGAAGAAAGTCGCGACGTCCCCACAGCAACCAACACATCCGCCCCTATGATCAGATCATCCCGAGCCAACCACTCACTACTACTTAGTCGTCCAGGCCCGGTCGCGTAACATGTCTGCATTTCATTTTCTTAGTCTCTCCCTTCTGGCCGTGTAATTATATTCGTCGTCCTTTTCTTAGCGGTGGTGCTGGCCGTCCCGCAAGAAACCGACTTGAACTTCGCCCATCCAAGCCTCCCTTTCGTTTGGCTTATGGCTTTCGTTCGTCTTGGCGTAGCATCATTCTTTTGGCTGCTCTTGTGTGTTTCCTCGACGCTCGCCCTCGCGTCGCCAGCACTCCCCCAATCCGCATATACCCCCCGATCGTTCACCGTCAGCAACACGACCGGGACGCCCCAAGTATTCGATGGCAACGGAAACACGGTGTCTCAAGGGGATGCGACGGACGGCAGTGGATCGAACTTCGACCTCCCTGCGCTGATTTGGCTCGGTTTCTCTGTCGTGATCGGGCTGCCGATGGCTCTGGCGGGGATCAGGGGATGGAGGCTGACGACTGGGACGGGGCTGGGACTGGCTTCGGCTGTGTGTGTGTGGGCGGGAATCATCAACACCGTTAACGGCTCGGGGTTCGGCGACATGTCGGTTGCTAGGTCGATGATTGTTTCTGTCCGTCGCTGACAAGCCTTCTCAGACTGCTGACGGCCGTCATCCTGATTATCTTCGCGGTGGGATTCGCACTCGGTCTGTTGGAGGTGGCCCGACTCGGGGCGATCACTGCAATCGCTCTTGCGGGTGGTCTTTCGTTCGGGATGCGAATCATCCTCATTCGACAGGGCTTGCTGTTCTCCTCCAATCTCTTTGTCCTGAACTGGGTCGTCGTGGGACTCTGTGGAATCTTCTCGGGTCTCTCGCTATTATTGAACCAGCGCTATGGATTGGTGAGCTACATCCGGTCCATCGAGCTCACATTCTAACGGGCGATACAAGCTCTTTGGATGCACGTCGATCGGCACATTCTTCACTGGACTCGCCGTTGACTTGGTCCTGGAGAGACAGTCGGGAATGAGTCTAGGACTGCGTTTGCTTTTCGATAGCAACGACTCGCACGCGGTGGTCAGTTAATGCGCCTCTGCTCTGATGTTTGTCTCTGAACAAAGCCTAATAGTTTTTCCTGACAACCCCGTATCTTGCGCCATTACGAACCAAAATTGTTATAATTGCTTCGTTAGGGCTCATGTAAGCTCAATTGCCCGGCGCCGACACTTGCACTCATGCCTCTCGACAGCCCATTCCTGGCCTTGGCACAACATCGATTATTCCCTCGGTCGTTCACCCGCCGGCCTGAGATCTCAGACGAGGCGCTGCAGATTAATTATCCGACAGAGTTTGAGGCTAAGCGGACTACATACTTGGTCTCTCTCTGGGATGGAGCCAGGGAGAGGCAAGGAAGTGCCCATCGCTTCAGTGTATAAGATATCCATCGGGCGATTCTTCGCTCACGACGCCTCATGTACATACAGCCATTCTCTGGGACAGTAGACTAGTCTGTTGGATTACAGCAGTCTCAATGATACAGTCAGAGAAGGCAGTGCAATCGCTCTAAAGTAAGCTGATGCTGCGCGCTCGGGTGTAGTTTGGACGGTCTGGTATGGAAGGCGGGGGTGACATCCGCCCTTGTCTGTCACTCGGTGATCCCCCGTTCCCAGCATTTCGCTTGACGGGACTCCCGCTTCCGAATCGTCCACCTAATGGCCATTCGAAAAGCCTTCTTGGTGTCTGCGGAAGTGCGGCTGCGGTCGTTGTGGCTAGTCGACGACCGCTAGCGATGGCGTTCTGCCAGACACTCTTCAGCGGACCGACTTCCTGCTTGACAGCGGATTCGATGAGCATGTTCTCCATCTCATTCGTCAGGGACATGATCACGTCCGCTGACGGATTTGTCACAGGTCGCAGTTGGTTGAGAGTAATTTGCTCGGCAGATGGTTGGATGACATGCAATTCCGAATGTAGCAGTTGCGAAGCTGTAAATAATAATCAGAATGGTTTCCTATAAATCTACGGCCAACCGACCTTCGCAGTCAACGTTTGTTACTAGGTGCAGCAATCTGTGCGTCATCGCTTCCGTGACCTTGTTGGGGTCAGGCAGGAACTGAGGAGCAACGCGGCTGAGAGCTATGCTCATGAATAGAAACAGTTGATGCAGAAAGAGAATATGCTGATAGGCCACTCGACGGGGAAAGAGGAGATGCAGCAATGTCCGGTTGGAGGGTCCCTCAGTGGGATCGCCGAGAAGTAGCCCAGATGGTACCAACGACGGGGATGGCGACACGATCAAAGACAGCTCCGAAACGAAAAGTGAAAAGCACAGCAGGTACCGCCACTGGCTTTCCAGTCAATGAAAGTTGGCAATTTCGAGGGAAGAGACGCACGAAAGCGACGGGGCTGGTTTCCCCGATAGCCGTCCAGAATACAAGCACTGCCCCCGCAACGACATGGTATCCAAGAGACTGGGTCAGCCCTTGCCTCAGGTATTCACCAGTGGTCGAGCAGTGCGTCCATCCAAGGACTGCGGGACCGAATCTGGCAGCGATTGATATGGGGAGGACTCGATGACAACGGGATCGCACCTATCGTATGCGAAGCGCACTGTGGGATTCTTCAATGCCTCGAAGGCATCCCGGACTTGGATGAACAAAGCCTCTCCCTGCGGACCCACGCGATCCGGATGGTAGCGTTTCGCGAATTGTCGGAAGGCGAGTTTCAGCGAGCCCTCATCGGCATTCGGATAGACACCGAGCATTTCGTAGTAGTTGGGCAGCATGGCGTTGGATCCCTGGATCAATGTATAGATGAGGTAGCCTAGAACTACGACTGCGAAAGTGTATCGGTAGTCGCGCTGGTACTCAAGAGTGCCGGCTCGAGGTGGTGTTATCTGGAAAAAGCGGAGCAGTACGTAGTGGAGGATCTTCACTGCCTGTTGTGTCGCGTGGTGAGGCACAAACGCCCATCCTAATACACCAAGGAATGGAATCGCCATTATTGATGGAGAGCACGCAGCGAAGACGGTGTGCGCAGGGAAGAACGAGAACGAGTGGCAACCAACCGGAGATACGACTCGACGTGGTAGAGAAAAGCCCTAAGATGGACGTAGCCGCAAACGTTACGCCGAGGTGGAGGTCGAAGCGAAGACAGAACGCGATTCACGTGCCACGCGCTTGATCACGCTCTGTCTTCCTCAGATTCGACCAGCATGACCTCGACTCCTGGTTCGACTCCTGGGCCTTCCGGATACTTCAGTTCCGTCCAAATTCCTACCTCTACGCCATACAGTCCCACTCCAGCTGCGACGCCCACCAGAGGACGCTTCAGAGGTGCCGCCCCTGCTAACACGACCGTCAGGCCGGGAACCAGTCCCGCGCCAGGGACACCGAGACCTCTACCTGGAGCCACGGAAGCGGGGACTCCTAAAACTCCTGCTGCCACAGGATCTCTACTGCAGGGTGGCATCTCGGCGCGGCCTGCCACAGCTTCAACTTACTCTTCCTACTTCCCTACCGCAACGTCCAGCACACTTGCATCGAGCTCGTTTCCTGCAGCGTATGCATCCTCATTCACCCCCTCATCTCCCTCGGTCTTCACGGCGCCGACTTCGACCTATGCGTCAAATGCGCTGTTGAGTCTTGGTGCATCCAGTGCAGGAACATCCCGGGCTGCGGTGGCCAGTGCCTTGGACGAAGACGGAGATGGAGACGATGAACTGCTCCCAGGAATGGCCGACGAAGATTATTCTGCCCAGCAGTCCTTCCAGAGTCAATCAAAGGATAATCTCAAGTGCGCCTCACTCCGTCTCAGCTCTCCGCGGACTACTTATACAAGTTGATCCCAGAGTATTGATGGACAACTTTTCCGACCTGCAGTACGACCGGTATGAGGCGTATAGACGACACGCTCTCCCGAAACAGGCGGTACGGAAGGTCTGTACGCCCGATTCCATTCTGCAGCTTGATCTCATTTGGCGGGGGCAGGTCATTCAGCAAACTTTGGGAATGCAGGTCTCTCCACCAGTCGCCCAAATAGTCGCGGGTTTTGCTAAAGTCTTCGTCGGTGAAATGGTCGAGAAAGGTAATGTCGTTGTCGATTGCCGGCTCTCTCTCGGTGCGCTGACGCGTTCTGAACAGCTCGAGCTGTGCAGCGGCGACGAGGGGAAACTGGACCACTCTCTCCGGATCATCTTCGTGAAGCTTACCGAATGTATCAGCAGGAAACTGGCAGTGTTGGATGCGCCCGTCCTCTTAGAGGGAAAAAGCTATTTGTTCGATGATCATAAACTTGCTTTTACATTGCTGTGAATATCTCTGTATCATCCATACCAGGCACGCTAAAGACAAGCACTGCAGTAGCTTGTCTCTGACATGATCATCAACCGTCTATGCACTCTACCATCAATGCAATGGCAAGCGATCAAGCCTTGTGGCTACGAAGCTTGAGCGCGAGCGCCCATGACCGGAACCTCCTCCCTGCACGCGCTTCCGCCCGATGTCGTTTTGCAGATCCTTGTGTATTTAGACGTTCTCAGCTTAGTCGCGTTATCATGCGTGCGTTGCTTCCTGGTGCTTCCAAGCACACCCATAATTAATTCATGTCGCAACCAGGTCGACACACGTCTCAAAGCGCTCTCGCAAGAGCATAGTTTCTGGTTCCGACCACTCGCGGGGGCGCATCGCATCCGGCCTCTCGCGTGTCCCGCCGCAGATGATCTGTCCTTACGCACCGCTGCCGAGCTCAGGAGACTCGCGCTGCACTCGCTCAGACTCGAGCGCAACTGGTCGACTTCATTCCCGTCCGTCGCGAAGCCAGTCAAGACGCTGGCCTTGACGAACCACGACGAGATGATGCTGAATATACCCGGGACGAACCTGATCGTGCTGGAAGACTGGGAAGAGGCAACGCTCGTTTGCATGGACGTGGAGACGGGCGAGCAGAGCGACGCCGTGCGGATTGGTGCCATCTATGACATGTCGTCACCCGTGGAGGATAAGGCTAGTTGCGCTATGTCCGCGCTGTCGGTGATGTCTGGGAACCAGTTGCGTGCATCATCCTTCCCCTGCTACAAGCCTGCGGTCGCTCATGGATCTGTGTATGCAGAATGCTCTCTGTACTGCGGGTTGCCATGCCCGGCCAGTCCAAGCCGGTGATTGAAGACAGCCTCAGGTTAATCCTGGACCCGAGCTACCAATATAGTGCGACCTTTCTGACGGAATCAGTCGTCGGGGTGGTTCGCCAAACGGAGGGCAGATCACTGGAGATACAGACATTCAATCTGGTGGACCCGACCATCTCAACCGTTGTCGTGACGGATTGTGTAAGTGTTCCAACGCAATGCCTGGTTCTTTGTACTGATTCGCGCCAAGCCAGCTGTAGAGATTATGGGCTCAGTGGTGTTCGACAGGACGATCTATCTCGTTGTGCTAGTAGGCACGAATGCATTCGTCTATGCCTGTCCCGAAAAGCTGCTTGCCATCGGATCACCCTCTGCAGACATAGACTACACCATCCGGCGCAGCCACGTCGCGCGCGTCGCTTTGTCCTTTCCGACCGATATCACGCGCGTCTGCTTCCCACGCTCCGTTCTGTCCTCAGAACCCCGCTCCGGCCGAAGTTTCATCTCCGTAACAGATGTACACGCCCGCCGAGGGGCGACGACGGATCGTTCTCTCGAGGTCACGTTTTGGCGACGCCCTTGGTCCGAAAGCGACGACGAAAGCGCGCAGCACAGACTTGTGTTGCCTGTGAAGACCGTGGTCGTGGAGGGGAAGCTGACGGAGCACCCGGCCAGTCACGCCGAGCCGCTGATCATCGCCAATTCGGGTCTCACAGTCCTCCTGCTCGTCGAGGTTCCTGAAGCGGACTCGCCCAAGATGCTTCTGATACGCTACGATCCTGCCGAAAAGACGGCCTCCACGCACGAGCTGAGATTCGACGCCAGCGAGTCCGGATTGGATTTGAAGGCAGTTCGCGGAATCACTTTGGATGATCACATCGGTGTGGTCATGGCTGTCACAGAAGACAAACGCCTGCATGTCATTCCTTACGCATAGTCTCCACAGGCAGTTGGTTTTATGCTTTATAAAGGGAGTGCATCAAACGTCTGGACGTGTAAGGTTTTATACATTCCTTTCTCGGGCTGGATAACGAGAGTCCCTCGATGCGGCCCTGGCGTGATATCCGGCAGCGTGGCTTGCGCGTGAGATTCGACTCGAGTAAAACGTGGTTATAACAACAGTGGTTTTCTCTCGTCGCTCGCTACTCCATGTCTCTGCAGCTCAAGCGCGGGTTTCTCAAAACGGGCCCAAAGGAAAAGGCTCATGGCAAGTCGCATCTTACACTTCTTGCCGACGCTGAGTCTGTTGTTAGAGGATACGGGATCGCTCCATTGCTTCTCTCCGTACTGCTCACTTTATTCGAGCGTTCCGCGGATCGTCAACACGGATTGTCGAGTGGCCTCCCCCGACTCTTCGCACTTTCTCTTCCTGCCTCCAGATGATTCCGAGCTCGTTTTCATCGATACACTAGACAACCTCAAGACCGTTGCCAAGTGGAAGTTGTGGCAGAATGCCGGACCTCGTACATCGACCGAAGTGTTCGCTATCCGGACTAGCGGAGACAAAGGCCTCGGAATGTTTGCGACGCAGTCCATTACGCGTGGTACGGTGATCTGCGAGGAACGTCCCAGGTTGGTCACCCATCCCGCCGTTTTGGTCTCATCCGACCAGGCACGGGCATTCTACCGCTCTGCCCTCGCTGGCCTCTGCTCGACGGCGCAGAACGAAATTGCCACACTGCGCAACGCGCATCTGGAGCTGGAACACGTCCGGGGTATCGTATGCACCAACGCGCTGGCCGCGAAAGTGCCCTACGCCGAAGTGCGCTATCCAGCGCTCTATCCTCGGCTGTGCCGGGCCAACCACGATTGCACGCCCAACGCCCACTACTTTTTCTGTTCCGAAACGTTCACCGGCCGATTTGTGGCGCTGCGCACCATCTCTGCGGGGGAGGAAATCACCATCGGGTATACCGAGCTGGCCGCCAGCCGGAAAGAGCGGCAAGCGAGGCTGCTGGAGAAGTACCGCTTCCAGTGCACTTGTGCCACGTGCTCTGCCGCTTCTGCACAAAGCGACGATAAACGCAGTGCGATTGCGCAGTACTTCGAAGGAATGCGGGGTCGATCGAAGCCTGAGGAGATGGCCCGGTTGAAAGAATTGATCCAGTGGGCGGAGGACGAAGGATTGGACGAGGCCGCCTCTGTCCTGATGGTCTCGTCTCTGAAGCTCATTCGACGAAACCACGATCCCGTCGAGAAAGCCAAGATCATGGTCAAGGCGATGGACTACATCCGGGTCTTGGAGGGGAACGACTCGGCCGGTTTCAAAGTCTTTGCCTCGCGCATGGAGATGACCACGCAGGATCTCTCCGCTATGCTGGATGGTGGTCTGGATAATTTCGACTACACGTTGTTCCCTGCAATCGCTACCATGGGATAGACATGTCAGCTTCCTCAGTGTCGTTTTCTGATCGTTTCCCGAGTACTGTTTTTGAGTGGTAAGTAGACATTGATGAAACTGTTCGGTCATGCACATACAAGCTCGCTGTTTCGCCCGCCATCCCCACTGTTTGAACGACTTGGGATTCTCCAGCCATCTTGAGAACTTCTGAGCACGCTCAGGGTCTTGACCAGCACAAAGCACCACGACTTTGCGAGCCCAGATGCGAAAGTTGCTCTCGTCGTCGAGCAGAGCGTAGGACATGGCAATCTCTTCTATGAAGGGAACTTGCATTCCATGCAGCCCTTCCTGCTCGATCAGCTCGAGCGCCCGCAAGTTCGAGACGATCACAACGTCGTCCTCGCGGCACATGTCCGTCGACCAGGGAAGATAGCGCGGGTGAAGAGATCGCCAGTCGCGCAGTTCCGCCCGGGCCGCGTCGCTGCGAGATACGGCCGCTTCATCGGGGAGATTGCAGTGCCGGCACGTGCACTCAAAGCCATACCGCGCAAGCTGGGCTCGGCGGACCTCCCTTGGTGCGAGGACATCGATGTACTGGTTGAAGATCTCCTCCCCGGCCCGGACGTCGCGCAGGGCGTACATAGACACGGAGAACGACTGCAGATCCCATTTCACGGCGGTGTTGAGCCCGCAGGCATGGTTGGCGCGGCTGATGTTGGGGAAGGCCCCGCCGTACTCCTGTGGCGAGGCATCCGGCGGGACGGGCAACGTGATTCCGAACGCGTTCGTCAACGCGATGCCTTCCACCACAGGATGCTCCGACACGGGTTTACAATTGGCCAGATCCAGTAACAGGGCCCGAGACTTGAGAGATATCCTCGGAATCAGTGCATCGAACGCCTCTCGCTTCCACGGTGCTGATACCTCCGACGGGACGACTGCGATCGGTCTGTCACAGAGGATGAGCGACCCAGCCGGGATATCCCGCGCTGCAAACATCCCTGCACCCTTGAACCCCGCATCAGCAACATAGAATGTGGGAGGAGTCGGAGTCGGTTGTGGTGGGAGGAAGTTGGGTGGGAGCAATGCGACTATAGGCGCGTCGAGAAGCATCGCACAGGCCGTCAAGTTGGGGGGTTTGTAATCTTCCTCGTCGCCATCCGATATCAGAGCGTTGTAAAGGACGAAATTTTTGGAGCCGACCGTCCAGCGAGCCCTGGATTCGTTGTCCTCCATGATGCGACTGCAAGTCCGGTCGATAGCTACGATGATAAAAATGAAGGACGCTGATCCCATCAAGCAATGATTGAGGATCCACAGCCACCTTGCAATGACAGGTTTACTTGACACGTGTGCATTTGACACGAGAGTTGAGCAAGATCATGGAACTTGGCATAGGAGCGCCAAAGTGAGAAAGAAAATATTCTAAAATATAGGAGGCTCTCATTCAGGCAGCGGGGATCTAAAACCTCCCTGCCCGCGACTTTCACACTCTTCCATTGGCTTGATTTCAGCCAACGTTTGCCAGAAGCGATCGGCTATCAATGCTTCACCGCCACCGCCGCCTCTCCTCTCCTGAAAATTACCTCCGTGGTGGCCTTCCTCGATAGCCTGAGAGCTCTCGTCGACATTCGTCTACTATCGCGTCACGCAATACTATGTCTGATTCATAAGATCTCATTTGCCTTTCTTTGAATGCTGGCGAGGACTGCGCGTTCAAGGAAATATGTCCCCCCGACTCAGTTTTATGAACCAGATCTTTCTCCGCGAGACAACTTTCAGAACATATAAATTCTCTATCCGCTCTCTCAACCCTTTCTCTATCTTCTGTTCCACTACCACTACCTCCTTTCCTCTGCATCCGTCTCGCCTTGATCTAAACATTCTCTTCTACCGACGATGCGAAGCTCATCTGCAGCAACTGTCGTCCTCGTTCTCACTGCCGTGCGGCACACGTCCGCCGGCGCCATAGAAGGGCTGGTCACACGCAACGATAACTCGTACAAGACCGAGAACTGTTTCTGTCCTTCTGGTCCATTCGTCGTCAATAACAAGCCTTGTGGCTCCTTCCAGCGATCTGGTACTTGCCCTCTCCTCCCCATACATCTCGTTTTTCTCATCTACCGCCTATCAGACAATGCTTGCTTTTGTGAGAGTGAAATCCCGGATGTCGTCGCTTCCAGCGACCATCCTACGATCACAACCGCCAAAGACAACGGCTTCGACTGGGATTCCATTTCATCGGCACTAGGAAACATGGTCAGCATCCTCAGCTCTCCCTGTTGTCCGGCATCTGTCTCACTCTTTCTTCAACCCAGTGGGACCGCTCCTCGGACGACGACAAGAAGACGTGCACCCGGCCTGCCAATGCCGTGCCTGCCTGTTCGCGAGACAACATCTGCGGGTACACTTGCCCGTCCGGCCTCAAAGACTGCGGGACGACCTGCGCGATGTCTTGCCCTAGTGGCACCAGCCACAAGAAGCGGAGCCTCAACGGAAACGCACCCGATTACTGGGGAAGCGAGATGCAGAGATCGTGCCCGGAAGGATGGAAGGCGTGCGGTATCGCTGGCGGTGGGAAACGTGCTTGGGAATGCGTTGATGTGAAGAGAGACTTGGAGAGCTGTACGTTCAGTCTCTCCGCTGCGACATGTTCTTTTTAGCTCATCGTTCTGCAGGCGGCGGCTGCCCTTTCGGAATCACCTCCTCTTTGTCTGGCGAATCTACCGGAAAGGACTGCACCGGGTTGCGGGACGTTTCCGATGTTGCTTGCATCAACGGTCGCTGCGTCGTTCAACGCTGCTTGCCCGGCCACAAGCTCTCGTCGACCGGTCACTATTGCGTGGAGGACAAGGGCAGTGTGAGCAGCGGTGAGATCACCGTCCTCACCGGCACGGGCTCGCTCCCGCAGCCGTTCTCGGTGCATCGCGTCGGTCTGTACCATCCGTCATCGCCCCAGTGATTCTTTCTTTCCCCCGATCGTTTTGGGCTTGAGGATTTCGTGTTGTTCCGCGCTGTGTCCTTATAAATGCAATCTGTCTGTTTTGGATCCGCCTCTCTGCTACCGGTAGAATTTTCGAGTGCAATGCAATTGTCTGTCCGATTGTTACCATACGCGAGACGACAGAACGAACAGCTACGGTCTCGAGTAGAGCAACATGGCGGCTACAGTCGTTGTCTCGAGAAGCCCTGCGCGAAGCGCATCCGCCGAGATCTCCATGACCAAGTTGTCTCCGCCTCTCTCCACTCTGGCGAGAAGCTGAGGTATATCCGACCGCTGATGCTCATTCCATACATACATCTGTGTGTGCATTTATCAATCCGTCGTTGAACACAATATCGAAACACTTGCGCAATAAACGTCGCTCTGAAGAACCCAAGCATACTGTCCCCCATAGACGGTCATGGCCCGATAACTCGAATCCATGGCATCAGCAATATGGATGGATGTATAACAGGGAGACATCGGCGCACCTGCCGTCGGGCGACCGGTTGAGCCACCCATCGACCCGTTGCCTGCTGACCGGCTCTCTCGAGCCCGGGTGCATTGCAGGGATGTGGACCACGGGACCAGATGTTTGCGCCCATTCGATCGAAGCGACAGTCACGCCTCGATTGGTGCGGAACAGCGTCATGCTCGGGCTTTGTGCATATCCGAGCTGGCTGTACTGCGAGACGATGTGGAAGTAGGGGGTGCAGCCGTCCGCGCCGACCACGGTGCAGTTGAGGAACGACAAAGAGGCGAGGGTGCCGGGAATCCGCCGCGGAATGAATGTCAGGACGAGCGTGGATGACTGACTGGGAGTGGAGGCAGTGGTATACGACATGCTGACAGTTTGAGTGCGAAATCTCTGCTTCTCCAGGAGCAGACAGAGACGAAGACACTTATAAGAACGCTCGCAAAAAGCCCAGATCGTTTCAGAACAGACGATGCGGAGCCCTGAGCCCTCCTGGAACGAAAATATCAACCTGGGCTGGACTGACACTCGCTTCATGCAAACAGAGATCCGCAGTGACTCTTTCAGCACCGCCAGTAGTTGTTCAACATCGCTAAGCTCAGGGTGCATCATCCGCAGACCCCAAGCTCCAATCCGTGAACTCGGACAGCACCGCCCGAGGGACGAGGCTGCATTCAGAACGTCAACACAGCGAGGGTGTCCTGTGCACACCAAGATTGAGGTGTCCGCGGAGGTTCGCTGTAGTCTGAGTCGGAGTTTTCTCGTTTCGGGTGATTCCGAGCACCGGCAGGGTCTCGTGCAAGTCGATAATGTCCGCAATTGGCCTTGACGAAGTGCATCAACGATTAGGCTGCACGCAACACAGCTGCTGATCAAGTACCTTAGCGGACTGAAACACCGAAGCGTAACAGGATTCAGCAGCGCAGTCCTTCCGTGGCCATCCATCCCCGATGCACACCGGGAACCCCGCCCATCATACAGCCTACATCAGCTGGGGTTCGAAGATGACGACTGTGCGGAAGTAAAAGGCCGTCGATGCAGTGCGATCGACATAGCGAAGCAAGGCTGCCCAAGCCAGATGCGGCGTTTCAGAGGCGCAGAAATCGACATAGGTTTGGCCAGCAGTCCGCAGCCTGCGTCATTCCAGTCAAACTTGGCCGTCAGGGCGCAAGGGATGATATTGTTTGTTGTTTTGGAAAGCGATGCCGAGGCGATGTCGGAGACAATTCGAGTACACATCTCTCTTTCGGTCCAAATATACACCCATCCAGTTGGCGAATGTGTCTAGTGACTCGCAAGTCTATTGGTCCCATTGGGCCAAGGAGAGGTTTGGCGGTGATGCTAATAAACGTACCTGCCTGCTAATAAGCGCACCTGGAGGGAGATGATGGGAACAAAGATCTGTGATTCCCACAGCCACCATTGGCTTCTGACCGCTCAGACTGCCATTTATACAGCGCTGTTGTCTTCTTATAATGACTTCAACCACGCATTGCCTGAGGAACCCAGCACATGGCCGAGGAAGGGACATAGACCGCTTCTTGTCGCTAGATACCGCTGGGGGAGATCCATCTTGGCAGATTCATTACACTGGACAGATCGACAGGTTTGACATGTGTCCAGAGATTCTCCAGTCTCCAGCCGATTCGGCGCACGAAGCCTATTAGCCTTTGACTCTTTCCTCCACGACCTAAGCACGACAAGACATGTCTACGTCTACATCTACATACTACGGGCCCACAAACGAGACGTCGTCGGATATCAACTATGAGCGCAATTTCGTATGTGGGATTTGATCTTCAGAAACGATTGGCATACTTATCGACTGGTGGGCGCAGGTTGCAGGCGATGTGATCGTCGGGACTGGCTATGGGGCGCAGCTCGTTCTCTTTGCCAACTGTGCTCTTTTCCTGTGGAAACGCAGGAGGAACCGCCAATCGATGTATCTTCTGGCCTACATGTCTCTGATGCTCCTCATCGAGTCGCTGTTCGTGGCGGTTCAAGCGAGGACTGTGCAAATGATCTACATCGACAACCGGAACTATCCTGGTCTGTGATATACGGTTTATTTCTTGTTGTTCCTAGGCTCACGGTCTCGCGCAGGTGGCCCATGGAAGTTCTTTTTGATCTCACAGACCGCTGTGGTCAATGTGATGTTTTATGCTACGCTCTTTCTGCTCACGTTCCTTTCTGATCTTCTCGTCGTGCGTTCCTCTTGTCGTTTGTTTGCAAAACCCATTGTGATCCTCTTCAGTTGTGGCGTTGCTGGGTCATCTGGTGTGCATCCGGACGACGAGTCGTGGCTTGGATTGCAATTTCACTGCCTGTGCTATTACTGTTTGCTTCTTTCGGTAAATGCCCAGTGGTTTCCTCTGCATGCTTAGCTGATCCATTCTCAGTCATGGGCACCCTCTGGACTCTAGAATCATCACAGCCCAATCTGTCGCTCTACAGCAAGCTCCCCATGAGCTACGGAACATCCTACTATGCCATCTCCCTCGGCGTGAATATCATTCTCACCGCTCTCATCAGCGGCCGGCTGGTGAGCTACCGTCGAACGCTGGCAGCAAATCTTTCGCCCGAACTCGCCGGGCATTACATCTCGCTTGCGACCATCATCATCGAGTCTGCTGCTCTCTACTCTGTATTTGCCATCCTCTTCTTGATCACCTATGCGATCAACAATCCGACGAACCAAATCTGGCTTGGCGTTGCGTCCAGCTGCCAGGTGATTGTTCAGCAGATCCCATCCACTGCGGTCGTTTCTGACTGATGTGCAGCAAATCGGGAACCAGCTGATCATATTCCGGGTCGCGGATGGGAGTGCCTGGCAGCGTGATACGTTGACTAACACAGCTCCCATCCACTTCAAGTCAGGAACCGGCCAGCATGTTTCAACCAATATCGGCAGCTTCCATATCGCGGCTCCGGCAGATCCCGAGCTTGCACTGAAAGACCGCACGAACGTCTAGCCTTGTGCATCTACCATCTCTTGTCAATTATCTACTTATTGTACTCATCGTCCATGGACACCCGTTCGTTAAAGAACCCCGGCACTCGTTCCGCGCTCAAAGAATGAAGCGTTGTTGTCCGTAAGCTTGTACTGCAGAGCCGAGTTTCTGGACAGGAGTTTCACACCTGGCGAAGATGTCCCAGGTCCAGCGTGTAGAGCCACCTTTCCTCGGTCATTATCATACGAAAAGAGTCGGACCCGAGGAGAACGCACTTGTCCGCTCACAGAGCCGCTCTTCCCACTAGACAGTGGCAGAACCTCTAAATGGTAACTGCAAAGCTGGAACATGGACCGAAAGAGATCGTCCAACAGTGGTTCTGGCCCGGATGGGGTAAGGACATGCTGGCGGACGATCAGGGTCGCATTGATCTACGTTCGAGCTTGAGTGAGGTCTTTCGGGGAAAGTGCATGTCCTAACCTTGCGGCAGGCCGCATAAAGCGCGCGGACGAAGCGGGTGATATCGAGCACGGTGAATCCCAGCCAATCAAGCGTGGCCAGATCGTCAACGATGACCAGTAGATCCGAACCACCAACAGACCCCATGGAGGTCAGAACAGAGTTGAGGATAGGCAGGAGTGGTGGTGGCTGGCCAGTGGGAAGCACGTCGCTATCTGGCGGTCGGACTGAAGAAAGCACATCAATGACGACTAGCGAGCCTGAAGCTATCTGCTGGTCCAAATTCAAGTTCTAAATCGCGTCAAACGCATCCAGATCTGGCACCATATGATCGGGACGTACGGATTTGGCCGCAATAGCCTTCCATCGCGCAATATCCTCCGATACGGAGAGCAGTATAGCTTTCTTCGGCTGCGCAGTGGTGACTCCTTTCAGATGCTCCAAGAATGTGCGATGTACAAAGAAATCCGCAGGAGAGGAGAGTTGATCGGTTACGAGCAATAGAATTCCAATAGGCAGGTCGAAAGGCGAGAACATGGATGCCAAATTGAAAAAGACCAGAAGCTGTGCACGTGACTTGCCCGAATCTGCTTCATTGAGTTGTGAACATATAATACACCTACTTACTACAATCCGTCTATTATTCATCTTCATCGTCTTCGTAGCTATCATACTCGAAGCACTCCATGTTCCCGTCACCTTCAGCGCAATCACCATCGTAGCAAGGTCTCCAACCAGTTGAGGAACATCGATCTCGATCAAGCCCGATCTTGCCGCGGACCAAATCAAAGTGCAGGTCGCTCGCAGAGACCGATGAGAACGTCCAAGAAGAGTTATCGCCACAATTTTCCGCGAAGTTTCTTGTCGCCCAATTGAGACACATCCTTTGCACAAGACGTTATCGAGTCGAAAGCGGATTCGATGCGGACGGGAAGAACGCGACGGTACGATTGAAATCGACGGCGCGCCGGAAATCTGCACAGAAAGTGCTTCGAATATGACAGCAATAGATGTATGGTCCTCACAGCATCGCAGTAGCCACGGTAGGAAGAGAGATGGCACTGAGAATAAGCCGAAGACAGGATGAAGTCGGACGGACTGTCCCTGAGCTTTGAAGAATAGACCGTTTCGCCGTTGCTGAAATGATCAAAATTCATGGACATCGAGTCGGGTTAGATTGTAGTGTCGCCCTGTAAATACCGTTAGGTGTCAGAAGCAATAGAAACACCGCTACTCACAACCAAACCGAAATGCGTCCTAGATGGGAGCCCTTCGTCAGAACAAGTTCCACAGGCGCATCCTAGTCTACGCTCCAGGAAGTAGTGGCGAAATGCCGCGTCCACGTCTTGATCTGGGACTTGCTTGGGCGGGTACTCGATCTCAAGCTCGGGCTAACAGCAGCCATCCCACGTTTTCGAAAGCTTCCCTGAGAAACTGGCGCGCAAAACTCATGCCCTGCGCAATCAAGTCCAAATAATCCGTGCCCTCCGAGTTGGAGACGTTTGCAATGTCAATGCGCACATTCAGTGGAATGAGTTTCCCCACAGCGTCTAGATTCTTGACAGATAATCCAATCACACTCCGCGTCATTCCGCTTGCGTCCAAAGCATGAAAAGATTTGAGGTCTTGACAGAAGTGCGCTCGAATGATTCCGCGATCATTGAACATGGACCCCCGCTCTTGACGATGTCAAAGTGCAGACATAAACGATTGCAAATCAGATTCGTACAGGCCGCCGAATGCGTCAAGGAAGTCCACCTTACCGACGGTCACATCCGCAACGATAGCATTATGAGGAGAGGAGTGCTCGGATTTCGGCGATAATGCGAGATGCCAAGTGCAGGGAAATGAGCGGAAGTGATTCTGCGATACTAGATAGGGAGACGATAGTTCGAAGCCTCTCGGGGTTCTCATAATCAGGTTTGGTTTTGGTTTGAAGTTCGAGCGTACTGAGCTCCATCTGCGTGTACATGGTGGTGTAGCGAGGAACAAGAGTTTGGGTTAGCGAGCGAATGCATAGCCGGGATGTCCGACTTTGGACGCTATAGTCTGTGACCTGCGCGTGACAGCTCTGAGATTCATTTCTTTCACGTGGTATGTGGATGACCGTGACTGGAAGTCGAACTTTCTGTTGGTTCAGATTTCGGATCTCCGAATTACGACCTTCTCAGCCTGTTCTACTCTCCAATTATGAAAGTCTTTTCATTTTATCGGCCGAATGTGATAAAATCCTACACTCGCAGGCTCCGCCGGTTATCTGCATTCCCAATGACATTTGACTAATTTTGAGAGTTGAGTAGGTACACTACAAATATTACAAGGGTAACATATACAGAAAATTCTTACAGAAAGTCTACACGTGTAGTTTGAGGAAGCTGTTGTTGGTAGATATGCGCACGGAGCCTAACGGCTTCTTAGCACCCCCAAGGATCGGCATCTTCCACCGGACCTCGCCCTTGACGAAACCTAATCTCTTGAGGTCGCTCTGCCAATCGACAGTACGCAATTTCCTGATGTCGACGTAGGGCAGTTGGTCCACCAGGACGACGTTGGAGAACAGCGTAAAGTCGCCCTCGAAGGCCTCGTTGAGCCAAACGCTGGCAGGCGAGTTTTTGGTCTCCGCGTCGAGATGCAGGATGGATCGAGCCGGAGCCGATGGGAAGGTCATGGTCATTGGTGCATTCGTAGTCGTTGCCGAGATGTTGAAGCGGCCGCCCTGCCCGTTGGCCGCAGTGGTAAACAGACTAATCGGTGCGTCTATCTCTCTGTAGATCGGTGATCAGTGTTTGCTTGGTTGCTGGCTTCGCAGAATGAGAACACACGCATTGCAGGTTTCGATCCTGAGATGCGTCGTTTTGAATATGTTGCGATGGTGAAGTTTGATCGAGCTGAGGACAGGAGCATTGGTTGTCGACAAGATCAGGGACGACGAGGTTTCAAATGAGCCTGATATCTTGGCGTTGGCGTTCATGACCGTTGCGTTGTTTGCAAAAACAGACTGTTCAGAATATTCAACGTCCGTATTAGATCTCTGCAGCGGACTTGGTACCTTGGCATGTATCGGTTTGCCCCGTCCTTCTATTTTAAGTTGATCAAACCGCACAACATCTCGGAGGGCGTCAAATGACTGCGAAAACTGAGGAAGATTGGTTTCAAGGTTGTAGACCGCAGAGTTCGAGCCGGGATCGGACGAAGTGGGAAGGAACAAAGTGATTGTAAAGTCCAGAGCGTCTGTGGCGCTCTGGCCATCAAACGCATGAGGTGTCTAGGAGAGAAATGAGATACGTTCGTGGATTCTTCCAGTTCAAGATGCTTACAAAAATACCCAACCCTACACTGCCCGTCTTCTTCTGCTCCATCTGACAAACGGCCGATCTATCGAGAACACGAGCCGAACAATATCGCGCTTGTATATCAACTCGCGGGAGCGCATGCGGGGATGTTGCCACGACCTGCAAGTGGCCACCAAGTTGGGCTCCTTGAGCAATTAGAAACATCGCAGAAGACGCGTCGGGGAAGGTAAACGACGCGTGAGAGGTGGTATTGAAGGGGGAATCGTCATCGGGCGAAATGAAAGTCGCGTTAGACCACGTGGCCGACGCAACACATTTGCCTGAGCGAGGATCCGGTTTTGCCACGGGAATCACGGGCAGGATGGGCGGTATCTTCTTTCCGTTCAAGACTATTCGAGACCATGAAGTGTGTAATTAGACTTACTGTAATATCGGTGTCTCCGTGCTTGTCTCTGCCCATCCGCTCCGTGGTCCGTTCTCGTCGGGTGATACGGAGGAGGAGCAGGAAGAACAAGCAGTTGAGCGCTATGGACGCGAAAGCTAGTCTTCTACGAGTCTTGTGCAATCTAGCCCATCGTTGCTTCTGTCTCCGTGGGGGTGAAGTGACGACAGGCGGCAAAACCGCCTGATAAGATACGTAGGGTGGCGGAAGAAGTTGCTGGAGAGGACCGACACCGGCTTCTGTCTGATTGAAAGCGGTGCTGGAGACCTCCGTCGGGCTCTTGACCGAGGAAGATGGCTCTTCTGACTCGTCGATGATCATGAAAACTGTAGGCAGAAGAGGAGAGCGCCGCGGCTACTGAATGATCGCAGTCCATAGTTTTGTGTAGACCTCGGCAGCTCGGATCGTTCCTTATCAGTTTCGTACATTGCATTACGTTACATCGATCGATGAATTGATTATCTTATCTTATCTCAAGTTCGGTTGCCAGTCAACCCCGCAACTCGGCCGAGACGGCCGATTCGAAATCTGTGCCGAAGTTGCCACTTCATTTCCCTTCATTTCGTCAGGGTTGACGCTACCGACAGCGAAACTTGCAGGATTTGCCTGTGCCTGGCCCAGTCATGGATGAGTCGTCTGTTCCGGGTATCTTCTCATCTTTGTACCGGTACCGGCATCTCCGCATCGGAACACCATGCAAAAAACACACTCCTCTGCGCTTTCTACAGCAGACCGTACCGACCGTACATTTGTTGGGAGGCTACTTGCACCCACAGGCTGCCAATTGAAGTCGGTGCGGGACACAAATGGTGACTTCCGGTGCAGCGGCGATACCGTTCACGTAAATCCACCAGCGCAGCAGTCCAGCTAGTCTCTCGGAGTCCCGTCAGATTCCGCGACTATTTCGTGACTGGAGTTGGCGTGGAACCCCTATACCCCGCATTCGATCCGCTTGCCTTCATATTCACATGCCACACGTATAAAACCCTGTTACGTTGCATGACCGTCGCCATTTGTACCCCTTTTCCTGGCTCTGCTTCCTCCACCAAGCTGGACGCCTCTATCACCACGCCATGTCGAGGTCGGATTCCAAGAAACCGGTAGGATTTGCGACGCACATCGCGGCAGGGGGCATTGCTGGAGGCTGCGAAGCGGTGAGTCCCGCAAGCTTAGCGGCGGCTTCGTCCCTTACGCGTTCTTTGTCGTCGCAGCTCGCCTGCCAGCCGCTCGATACGATCAAGGTCCGCATGCAGCTCTCCAGGTCTGGTCGAGCCCCGGGGGTGTGTGCTCTCCCTCGTTGGCACGTGAAATCTACTGACCGGCGGCACCGTTACAGACCAAAGCGCGCGGTTTTCTGGCCACAGGCGCGATGATCGTTCAACGTGAAACGCCACTAGCTCTGTACAAGGGTCTGGGCGCGGTGCTCTCGGGTATCGTGCCCAAAATGGCGATACGATTCGCGTCGTTCGAGTCCTACAAATCCTTCCTTGCCGATCGCACGACGGGCAAGACGTCCACCGCAGGGATCTTTCTTGCTGGACTGGGGGCGGGGACGACTGAGGCCATCGCCGTCGTAACACCCATGGAAGTGGTCAAGATCCGGCTGCAGGCTCAGATGCATTCACTGGCGGACCCACTAGAGACGCCAAGATACCGCAACGCAGGACATGCTGTGTATACGATCATTCGAGAAGAGGGTGTTGCCACGCTCTATCGAGGCGTTTCGTTGACAGCTCTGCGGCAGGCGACGAACCAAGGTGCGCTATCTCCCTCGGTGATCCTGATCTAAGCTTAACGCCGACTTTGCAGGCGCCAATTTTACGGCGTACCAAGAGCTGAAGAAACTGGCCCATCGGATGCAGCCCGAGCTTGTTGAGCTGCCGTCGTACCAGCACATGCTGATTGGCCTCATCTCGGGAGCCATGGGCCCGTTTTCGAATGCACCCATAGACACTATCAAGACGCGTCAGTGCTGCTGCTTTCTCTGGAGGTGGCCCGCGAGTTCTGACCGCATTTGGTGATTAGGACTGCAACGTGCCCCGGCCACGCCGGATGTATCAGCGCTGGGGCGGATCACTGCCATCGCAGGAGAGATGTGGAAGCAAGAAGGATTCAAGTCATTCTACAAAGGCATTACACCCCGCGTGCTGCGCGTTGCGCCCGGTCAGGCGATTGTGTTTGCCGTCTACGAGCGCATCAGCAAAGTGATAGAGCGGATGACTCCGGTGCAGGACCACGGCTGGGAAGAGTAGGTAAGTGGGTACACATTACATAATACACTGTAACTGGTCGTGATTGAAACATGGATCTACGTGGAAATGCTATACTACTGGCTACCTACTGTATACTACTGACTACTAATGCTACGTAAAAATGGGGGGCGTGGATGAGATGGCTGGTAAGATATATGGGGGAGGACAGAACAAGGAAGACTACAGCTACGAAAATGATCCAGATGCAAGGGACGGAAGTATTCGCGAACGAGGCATAACACAGAGACAATGATGGACTGATAGTACAGGGATTGGGGGGAGACACTTTAGACACCATATCGAGCAGCGAGTCGCTCCTGGATGGGCTGTGGGAAAAGCGTGACTTGCGCTTGCCAAGCCGCTGGGTCGTGTTGCTTGAAGCCCTGGAGCAACGTGGTAAACATATTGTTCAGCTCCGGCGACGGTTGGTTCCATCGAACAATTGCATTGCAGAACCAGAGCAAGCTCTGTGGCACGTGTCAGGGACACTCTCCATGGACCCCAAATCTGAACTAGCGCACCTTGGCAATGCCCGGAGGGTTCGCTTGAACCAAAGTGCAGAATCCTCGGAAAGCAGAATCCTTCTCCTCGTTATCCCGGATCTCGTATAGCGCTTGGCACCACGCTTGTGCAAATTCTGGCAGGTGTCCCGCAACCAGGTCTGGGTGCATCAGACCGATGCGGCCGATAGACACCGCCGCATTCTCGTGCAGACTACGAGGTGCCTTTGGGTGGAGAAGGATAGGGACCAGCCGAGCAATCAAGGGTCCGACCCATTGTTTGAACTCGGGATCATCTAGGCGTGACGTGAGCTGTCGGACAACAAGCGAGCATGGCAAGAAACGCACCACGGCCGTATCGAAGTGCAACTTCACCGACCGACCAGGCAGCATTGTTCGATGCACTGATGAAATCATACTTGGGCTCCGGGTCGAGCTGCAGAATCAACTCCGCCATGATACCCGGCATGTGAGGACGCAGCAACACAAAGCAGCCCATAGCCATGTCACCGACCAAGGCGTAAGCTGACTGTCGGACAGGCGCTTGCGGGTGTTTCAGACAGACAGTAAGCAGAGACAGCAATGGGGGGTTGCTATGTGCGATCAACTGCTGCAAGTCCATGCCCAGTCCCTGCGTCAGTCCCGAGAGCAGGTCTAGTGCGACAACCAGGAAGGCCTTGTCCGGCTCCTCTAGTTCAGGGTTTTGCTGGTACTCCTGATATTTGAGGAGTGCGTGGTGTATAATATTGCCGCAGCGCTCAAAGACCGGAGGCGCATAAGGAAGGAAGGCGACCCCCATCGCAATGGTCACTGAAGCCAAACACTGCAGGGTGTCAGTCGCAGGCGTCGCAGGACGAGGCCAACGCACCTCCAGCAATGGGATGAGATCTTCGTCATCATCCTTCAGACGGCTCCAACGATTGGTCAAAGGGGGCATCAAGATTTCCACGTAACGAGGGTTCTGCAGAGCCCGTCCAACAGCGTCAGCGAGAGTCCCAACAGCATCGTACAAGATGAGCATGTTCTTGTGCTGGTACTTCTCGAATGCTAGCACGAGATTCTGCAAGACCGGCTCCAGGTAAGGCGCCAGCTCCATGCCAGCATCTTCCTCAAGAGTCGCAAACGCACTACATCCAGCTTCCTGTACTCGTTTATTGCTGTCAAGAACCATGCGAAGAAGCTGAGACATTGACATCAGACACAACATCATGAAGGGCGTAAGAGCACACATACACCCTCCATTGTGGGCACAAAGTACAGGTTCTTGTGTTCCTCCGAAATGGGTTGAGTCGTCCAGCTGGCATAGCGACCAAGGGTCCAACACGTGATGGAACGAACCAGCGGCTGGCCACCTTTCAGTTCGATGCAAAGGCAGTAAAACACCAATTAACATGCCTTGGCATCAGATAACGTGCCGATCAGAAACGGAACGAGAGTTGGGAGATGGGGCTCGATCGCTTCGATGCAGCCTGTGCAAACAATCAGTGCCCGATTTCAGCAGGCAAGGAAGATGGATCGACCTTCAGCCATGGCGCCAAGAGCAAGAATGCCACTTTCACGCTGAAGCCAGTCACTGCTCCAGAGCTTCTCTTTCAGCGGTCCAAGCAAAACATTCAAGAGATCGCCGCTGAATCGGACAGCAAGAACGTCCAATGCGGCGGCAGCGCACTTGCGCAAGTTCCATTCAGTGGACATCTCATCAGCAAAGTCCTCATCATCAAAGTCGTCGTCCTCTTCATCTGAATCGATGGTCTCCTCGCCATAGGCACCGATTCGCGTCTTGGATTGTTGCTGTTCGGTAGGGTCGCGTTCCAGACCGTGCGACTTTCCGCTTCCATAATGACGAGGTTTGATATCCGTCTCCTTGTCCGGAACGGCTGCATCCTCGGCGTCTCCCTCAAGCCACAACAGATCGTCTTCGCCGTAGACCATGCAGTCAAGCAGGACAGGTGCCACTTTGCCAAGAAGAGGGTGCAAGTGCAGCGCCAGATCGGCATCCTCCGCGAACGTCAGCCAGAACTCGCAGGCCTCGAGCGCGACATTCTCGTTCTTGTCTTTGGTCGAGTACAGCATGTATTCGGCGACATTATTCATCTCCGGCATCAGCTTCTCGGGACGCGCCGCGAGCAGAAGAACCAGTGCTTGGCAGACGTGACGACGCACCGACGGGTCGTCATCCGAGGCGAGTTTGAACAGTGTTGCGATGAATGCATCGATGTGGACAAAGAGGGATTGGGAGGCGATGGGTACGAAGTACGATAGACACGCAATGGCATGCGATCGCATCTTGGCAGAAGGGTGCTCAGCAAGCATGAGGAACTTGGGGATCATAAAATCGAGGGGACGGGTGCCACCGATGTCCACGTCCATTTTTCGGGGATAGTCCTCGCAGGACTTCTCTAGGACATTGAACGCAGCCTATACAAACGTATTAAGCGCGTATAGAAGACGAGAATTGAGCTGGGCGCACCTCCTGCCGGTCGAAATCGGGTGAATCGAGTGTCTGCATGAGCTGCTGCAGGCACTCTGGCCAATTGCGTGGCTCGAGCTGTCCGAGGAAGGCAACGATATCCTGGCCAGCAGCATTTCGGATCATTACAGATGCGTCGTTGAAGGCTTGGAGAACGGCCGCTTTCACATATGCGGCCACATCGGGGGTTGCAGTGAGGATGAGCCGTGAGTTGTTCTTCAGCAAATACCCTGCGATGGTGCGAATCCGGTCTTCCTCCTGTGGCATAGCCGCGAGGATGTGTGCGAGGTACCCAATATATTCAGGAGAGCGCGTAAAGTTGTTTAGTTTCTACCCAGACCCAGTAAGGAACGGCGAACAAAAAGTATAAAGAAATCTGACTTGGGTGATCATTCGCTGCACATTAGTATTCATGTCTGTGGACTCGTGAAGAGTCTGGAGGACCTCTTGGAGGCCAGCAGGTTGCGGGTTCCATGAAGACATGGTGGAAGACGCGAAATGAGGGAATCAATCTAACAACTTTCCCTCAGGCTTCTGTTGGTGAGTGTTATTCTTGTCACGCGATCACCATCGCTGCGTCACGCACAGTGACTCACCGTGGACTAACTTGGGCAACTTGGGGGAGACTAGTATTCCTTGAGATTCTTATGTGCCTTTCTATGTCAACACGATGTCCTCCCAGACTTAAGTACACATGTAGATCGCGCGCTCCCATGCAGGTCTGACTTTGATTGGCGCCTTCACAGGAGTGATTCTGATCTTTCGTTTGACAGAACATCTCCGTCTCTTTGATGTTTTCCAGACAGGCGCGCGCGACATGCGAAATGCTCAAATACATCCTTGCAGGGATTGTAATTTCGGACTCCCAGCCCGCGAAGCACAAAACCCATCGACCACGAGTCAATTCCTCCGATTTTAGAAGCCCACGCCGGTTTCTCAATCAGTCTTCTTCGATCGCTTTAAGACCCTCCATCAGAACGTGTGCTTGTCCCAGGGACTTGTAATAATCCAGCTGGCCCAATCTGCAAGAAAACCCCACTTTGTGCCAGCCAGAGGGATAGGTACACTTTGGAAAAGAAACCGAGATCGACAGCAATATGCAAGTACAAGAGAAACGGCCAATCCATCAAGCATTCGCCGTGTACTCAAAGTCGGGAAACAGGTCCCCATTCGGATCCGACACGGACAAGCCATAGGTTGAGGACACATCGTCCTCAGGATATTTGTCGAATCTAAAAACGAATGATCACGTCAACCACAGAAAAAGCAGGCAGGATATGCAACAAACGCGCTCGCATCACCGTCCCCTGCGATTCTGGGCAGATACGGTGCAGTGATTTCTCGGGCCTCCAGCCGGGCCCAATCCACTTCTCGGAACCACGGATGGGCGAAAACATCTCCCGCTCCATGACGCAGATTTCCGTATCGTTTTGAGGGATCACCTTCCATCAATTTCATGATGAGATCTCGGGCGTGGTCTGAGAATGCTGCGGATGGAAAGGCGACTTTGGCCGGCCCTTCCTGGATTCGGTTATAAAGTTGCATGTGGTTTGGCTCGGCCATGTGGTACGGGGGCAGTCCGAAAAGCATCTCGTAAATCAGAACACCTAAGGCATACCAGTCCACAGATTTGTTGTAACGACCCTGACGCACGACCTATCCTCATCAGCATTGAGTAAGACAGAGTTGTTCAATATGAGCTCACCTCCGGTGCAAGGTAATCCGGTGTCCCACATAGAGTCCATGTCGACGACTCGATGGCCTTGGCGAACCCGAAGTCGGCAACTTTGATGTGGCCGTCCGAGTTGAGCAACACATTCTCGGGCTTGAGATCGCGATATATTATGCTGAGGTCGTGCAGATAGTGCAGCGCGAGACCGACTTCGGCAGCATAGAATTTAGCGACCGGATCAGGAAATCGCTATGATTGAAATGAGGCGTAGAGCCCACGCAATGCGTGCACTTCACTCACATTCGAGCGTCGGAGAAGTGTGAACAGTTCGCCTCCAGGCACAAAGTCCATGACCATGTACAGATTCGCGCTGTCTTGGAAGTATCCCCACAAGTTGATGATGAATGGGTGCTGCACGCATTCAAGCATGCGCTGCTCGTTGTTCGTGTGCTCCACCTGCTTCATGCGTACGACCCTGTCCTTGTTGAGCACTTTGACTGCGTAAAATCGCAGATTATGCTTGCTTCGCACTGGAGAAGGATGATTAGGTCGAGTGCGCGGGAGTGTACTAACAGACCCAAAATACATACCCAGGTGCACTCGCCCAAAGCTGCCCGTCCCCAGCGTCCGCTGGATGATGAAGTCGGTCAAGCGATAGACTCCCCGTGGCCGGCTGACGAGCTTCTTGGGCCTCGGCGCCGGCGGCTTCTCCTCCTCCAATACGACCTCCATCTCTGACTCCATGCCGTACACACGTTTATCATTGCTCCAGTCACTGATAGACGTCGCCTGGGTGGAGATCGACCCGCGGTGGTCATAGCTGGAATGCGACAGGTACGAGGTCGATGCAGATTGGATGGATGACGGGCTGCCCGGGCCGTGCATCAAGTCGGAGTCGCCATAGTTATTCGAGGAGGCGTTTCCAAGCTGGTTCAGTTTATCGCCCATTCTCCGAATCATAAAGACGAAGGATGGCGGTCGCGATTGTAGGAACAAAGGCGGTTCGCGCCAACCATTGTGTAAGTCGGGACATGGCACGTGTCAATCAGAGTACAAAGGTATCCCCTTTTGGATCTCCGGTAAATTAAATTGTATCGACCAAGGCCGAACTGACCGACAAACATATCCTCAAGCATACATACGACAGCAGGTGCAACTGCAGCATATATCCAATCAAGTGTAATGCAGAAGAGTAAATCGCCCAACGCCATTGGCGAGATAGATTGTCCCATTGACCTCATCGATGCACATGGAAGACACCTCATCCAGATCGACTGATGCTGGCATCACCAAATCATGGACGGTGATGGTCCCGTCTTCGAGATGCAGTCGGAGGAGCAAAACGCTGTTCACGCCGTCCCGAGTTATTCCAGCAATGACATTGTGTCCGCTGTGGTCCATCCAGATCAGGCTATTCAGCCCACCCTCGGCATTGCCCATCATCTGACCGCGAATTTGAATGGTTTTGCAAACTGGGGCGAAGACGAGGGGCTTTTCGGCAGAATCTGTGTCGGCGCTGAGCACGAAAGTGAAGAGCAGGCGGGGACTGAGTCGGTCCTCATCTACGAGGCGGACAAATGCACCGCTGACTCCGTAGAAATGCGACGTGGGAAGAACATAGCAGAGCGGCTTTGGCCTAACAACATAGTCGCCGGCTCCGGGTATGGTAATGCTCGTCGTATCGGGCTCCTGCCGTTGGCCTTCGACGAGCCTGGTGGGAGACACATGGTGTGTCTGGACGCTGATTCCATCTTCGTGGAGGAAGTAAAAGTGGTCACGATGAGCGAAAAAGGCGATGATGTCCTGGTTCGGAGTAGGCTGGTTTCGACAAGTTTCATCAAGCTCCACTCCCCACAAATCAATGCATGGCGGACCTCATGACCAAATCTGAATACAGCCCTCAAAGTGTGCCCATCCGACAACCGTGTCGATATCAGAGAAGGCGAGAACTCGGGGCTTGCGAGAAAGGCCATGTGTTCGGTGGTGTGAGCCAGGTATCCACTGTCGACTTCATGATCTGGGACAATTTCGGACTGCACAAGCTCGAAACTAACAAGCTGGTTATTCCGATGCGTGATTCGGAACATCTGGCGACGTCCGGCGACGTTGCTACAGGACTGTCAGCGGGGGCTGGCGAAACTTGGAGTAAAGCTCGCACTGAGGCCTCCCATAGACGATGCTCAAAAGAGCCAGCGAAGAGACTTGGTCTGTCTCATGCAGGGTGGATAGGAACATGATGGTGTGTCCAGTCGGCATCGGTGCCAGTTGCGGGTCTTCCTGTCGGGTATCCCAACAGATAAGCTGGCCGTTGTCAGCATCGTGGAGAACCAAGATCCCTGTCCCTTGGACATTGAGGATGACAGAGAATTGTCGAAGTGGTCCGTGGAAGGGTTCCAACTGGCGGTACCATGAGACGATAGGATAGCTATGTCCCCAATTGCGTTCCAGCCTCACGAATCTGAGACCCTGCTCGCGCAGTGCCTCCAGTGGATATTGCGAAAGATCTCCGGGAAGAGTCAGGATATGTTCTCGTCGGACGTTTCTTAATGCGGAGATCCAAAAGCTGCGCTCATTCCAGAGTCGATACAGCACCGGAGACGTCTGACAGCGACATCGGTTTTCGAGTGGTGGGAGCCGTTCGGATGCGACGCACAAAGAGAAGACAGAGCGCGTCAGATATCTTCGCGTGCCTGACTATTTCGAGGATGATGTCCGATGGAAGCTCGGAGAGTACGAGGCTGGCGGCCATATGGATGAACGTCAAGAGCAAGATATTAAGCCATCATCGGGCCGATCAACCACAAGACATCACTGCGCACCTTATCTTATCTTGTTCAATCTAGGTATTTTGGTTTTCAATCAGGATATTTACAGACTGAGCATAAGAAGAAGAAGATCTAAACAGTACTATCTAAGCGTACTGCAAGGTATAGAACATGTACCGCGAGTCAATGACATAAACGGCGCCCGTGGAATCATCTATGCACACCGCACGGAGGCCGTCGATGTCGATCGACTCGGGAACGACCATGGAATGGACTGTAATGGATCCCGGAGCACCCAAATGATATCGAATCAGCTTAAGCTCCATGGTAAAACTAAGCGTCTCGATCACAAGCAGAATATTGGAACCGCTATGGTCCATCCAGATGAGATCGCGATCCCTCACGTTGCCGGTGATGGAGACCGATCGACAGAGAGGATCGAACGCCAGCGGGGACTGAACCCATCGTCATCCGAGTGTGTCAAGCTACAGGGGAAGAAACGTGACTCTGACAACATCCAGCTCATCAGGCGAGTTCCGCACGAAAGCAGCGGCGATGCCGTAAACGGGCGATGTGGGGAGCGTGTAGCAAAAGGGATGCAGATCATCTGCGTCGGCCGATATCAAGGACACATATTGAATGGAGTCTCTGACGTCGTTGTGCAAAAGACTGTTCCTTGACACGTGTCGTACGTGGACAGACAGCCCATCCTCGAACAGATTGTAGAAATGCCCTTGGAATGGGAAACAGACAAATTGCTCCCGGTCACTCGAAAACTGTGCAAAATGAGTCAGCGCACTTGGCCATCGGCGAGACCCGATCCTCACCTGCCGAGGAGCCTTGATGGCGATCTCGCTGACAGAAAAATCCCCGCTTGCAGCTTCGAACCGACGGCCAAACATGAGCTTTGCTGAGTCAGCCGAGTCTTGGATGCCGACCGACCCAACGAATTCCTCCGTCAGCAGGAAGGACTCATAGTCAAAGCTCGTGGAAGATGTCATCTGGGTTTGAGTGCAGGTGAAGACGGATACCTCGTCCTCTTCATGACAAATGGTGACGATGTGGAGTTGGATTTCGCTGGAGATTTTCAGCGCTTCGCCGCCGGTCATCACCAGAAAAGCACGTACGACGGAGCGGCGAAAAGCTGTCGGCCGAGCACGAAGGCAGTTATCCCCAAAGACTCAAATGCGACAGATGTCTCGACGACTTGACCATGGAATGGAATTGTGGGCACAGCGGACTTCGAATTGACTCTTGTATCCCAGCAGACTAATTGCTGTCGCTCCTTGAAATGCAGGAGCAGAATGCTCGTTCCTTGCAAGCTCGCCACAAATTCCACAGGCTCGGGGAACCGGAGAGGTGAAACTGGGCGTGTGAATCGCGGCGCAGGCGAGCTCCAACTGAGATAGACGTTCATCCAAATGAACGCCAAATTCTTAAGTCGCTCAAGCGGCCATTGTGAGAGGTCGGTGTGCACTGGGCAGGCCAATGGCGAGTGGGCTCGATTCACCCGCAGGAGCGATATCCAGAAACTCCTTTCCTGGCCGAGTTGATAGATTGTCCTGCAGGTCTGGGCGCCTTTGTTTGAGTCTGATCGATGATCCCTGGATGGGAATGAGTTACCAGGAGTAAAGATAAGACATCAATGAGCAGGAGGTGGGTGCTGATCTCCAGGTAGATGTCAGGAGGCAGCTCCAACAGCATCCCCGACATTCGTCCTTGTTCCGACTGCCCGGAATGTTTGGAATTGAGCTCCGGGCCTGTCGGCTCTGATACCAGCATTAAACGCAAGTATAGCACAAGGAAGGAGCTTCACGATGGGGTAGATATGCCGCGCGGTTGTGTCAAACTGGAACGGCTTGACTGACGAGTGGGGCACGGGCCTTGGGCACAATTCGAAAGTATATTGGCGGCTAGCGCTCGAGATAAGGAACGACTCGGAATGATTGATGGTCAGCGAGGTGTGATCAAGAAGCCACTGAGAAATCAAGCAGCTTTCCCTCGGACTGTGGCCGCCTCCGCTTTCTCCGACCTGAGGCGCTGTTGCACAGGTGATGAGGGGTGACATGAAAGATGGCAAGCGAAGTGACGTACTGGCCAAGTTTCTCGATCGCTCTTTTCCTTTTTGAGAAGTAACCTTGCAGTGCAACCTGTGGACAAATCTTGTAGGGAATCGCACTCGGGACTTGGCCTCCACCACGCTGCCTCTGCTCTGTATGATCAAACACCTCTTACGTCCCCTCTCGGCACTTGACTCCATCCTGTTCCCGAACAGCTATTCGCGGCCCGTAGTCCGCCTCGTTATGACAGTTTGCAATGTTGCTTTGCACAAAGTTCGACTAGATTTCTTCGTTCGTCAATGCTGGAAAATGAAACGGACCTATTTCCGAACCCGCTGCTTCTTCAGATGTGTGCCCTTGGCGCTTAACAAAAGTGTTGGACTTCGGATCATGAATTGTTTGTGCGTTTCGATATGAACGCAGGTCAATTGGGATCTGAACAGCACGAGGAATGGCTTGTTCCACGAGAAGGGATATCGATGAGGCTCTGCGGTCTCGGGTCGTAATCCAACCATGCTGCTGCACCCAAATACAGCAGCATCACAGCTTAGCGGGTGGATATAAAAGCTTTTGGGCGACTCACTCGAACAGCAACATTTCAACCCGCTCATCGTCTGCAGCTCGACATGCCTGGCGCCCTCACCACCATCTCCACTTCCACTTACACCCAAGCCTCGCTGATCCCTCTGCCTGTTGGGACGCGCTTTGTGCCAGTCCCCAGAAAGCAAACACCATCCTGCCGTTGCTATCAAGCAGGTGGCTCGCGAGCAAAACCAGGGTCCTTCACGCCGTCTCCCAGACCAGTGCTGGATTGTCGTCAGGACCAACGACACGATCGACTTTGTTCTCTCCGTCACGGAGGGGGAAATGGGGCATATCCGGTCTTTTGTTTTTACCGCTGTCCCCACCCACCTGCTCAGACCGAATTTATGTACCCTCGGCTCCTTCCGCTGGCCCGGGCTCTCTTCGCGGC